CGTAAATGAAAATCACTGTCATCTAGTGAATTCCAACTCATAGTGGCCCTGTAGTACAGAGAACAACTGTCGCATAGAGTTTCCAAGACTAAATAAAGGTAAATAAAGGGATTCCCCCCCCCAGAGGCATTGGTAGTTTCAAACTGTTTAGCAGCCAATGCTTTAATTATAGCATTGCTAATTAAGAACTCAGAGACCTGTTCCAACTGACCTACAAGTTCTTCAAGGCACAGTTAGGACTGGATCTTGCTCATAACCTGGGGACTGCCTGTATGTAAAGAGAAACTCATTGCACTGCAGTGACACATCTATATTGTAACACATACAGGAGGCTAGGAAAAAAATTATATATATAGATTTGTTTAGGGCAAAGCTTGCCTTGTGATTTTCCAGTGTAAATCCCCACACTGCAGGGACTGAACAGTTTGCTATGCAAATAAGGTATGTAAAATCCTTCTGGAGATTGGTCACTTACTATGCAAATTAGACTGTGGCCTACTGATTGGTCAATTTTTAGTCTTGGTATAAAAAGTAAGCTTATAGTAGGGCCAGTCCCACAGAAGTTGAAGGATACTTTCCACCACCAAGAAGAAAAATCTAGAGTGTGTCCTTTGGGGTTCCTCAGATGAGACCCTTCCACACCCAGGAGAGAGAGCTGTGATCCTGAAGCAAGGGCCAGCACAGCAGTGGCATGTGGCACAAGTGTCAGCAGCTGGAGATTATAGAAACCAGAAAACTGGCGTACGATGGCTGCAGTGGACTTGCTGACCCATGAGGGAGTTACCTGTAGTGAGCTTGCCAGCCATGGAGCAAGGAGCTTGCTGGCAGAGCAGGGTGTCACAGGCATTCCTCAGTGGCACTGTAGTGCTGTTAACCATTGCCTAAGCAGGGCAGAAGCCAGAGGAGGCTAGTATGACTGGGAGAAAGGCCTGCCAGGCTGATGGAGAGAAGACTGGCCCCGGCAAGATGCACAGACTACTTTGGGGCATGACTGAGAAAGAGCTATCTGGTTTGGAAACTGTCCTGGTTGACCTGTAACTTCCAAGTCAATCCTGCACTGTAGCTTGTTATTTCTTTAATAAACCATGTAACTGAGAATATGATCTGTAGTGTTCTTTTGTTTAGACATTCCTCTAGGTCGTATAGCCCTGGTGTACAAGTTGCCGTACAGAGGTCACTTGTGGTTGCTGTGAGGCTGAACACTGTTGACACTGATGTGTCAAATGTGTTAATGGCTGGCAGAGAGTGGGGTGGAGCTCCCCGATTAAAACAAGCTTGGAAGGAGGAGTGGCATCCACTTCCGTAATAGCTTGCTTCCTGAAACCCTATGAAGCTGGAGAGAGGATGAAAGGCACCCAAGCAAGCATTGAGGACTCTCCTTCATAGGGTTGCTATGAGTTGCCTGCGACTCGACGGCACTTAACAACAACAACAGCGTTCTGTATGGCTAGGACAATGAAGGAGCTAACCCAGAAGACGGGTAACGCATGCCATGGTGGGGGGATAGCTGGTGTCAAATGTTCAAAGACTGATTTCCACTTCACATTGTGCTGGTGGGGATTCCCATCCCTCTTGCTGAATGTACAAACCCACATGCTCATTGCCAAAGGGAAAAGAAGAAGATTCACCTGGGTGAGGTATCTGAAGGCAAGAAGGACTTGCCAGAAGTGGAGTCCATCCTTTTGCATTCAGGTCCCTGTGGTGGGAAGCTCCTTGATATCAGGGAAAGCCGGGACACATCAAGGTCCAAGGACAAGGGATGCTCTTTTCTATCTGGAGGTGTCTAGGTCACTCACGTGCTGTCACCATTCAGGAGGTATCACTGTAAGATGATAGTGACCCGCTGTGTAAAAGAATGAAGCGCTGTGGATCCTGTCACCCTCACAATCACTGCTCTGCTTGCTTTCACACTATTGCAGCCACTGTGTCAGTCAATCTCACCGAAGGTATTTATTTCTCTTTACCGCTGACCCTTTATTTTACCAAGTAAAATTGTTATCTTCTTCAGGTACTGGCCCCTCCTGGCAGCATGCCGAAAGAATGTGAGATGAAGTCTCTCTATCCTTGCTTCTAAGGACCATTCTGGATGTACTTCCAAGACAAATGTGTTTGTCCTTTTGTCAGTCTGAGTGCTAAGGAGCAACGATGTCCATCTAGTGACTAAGGTCTATCCAAAAGAATAGCCTGAACCAAGCCATGATCTTCGCAATGACTTACTATGCAACTGAACTGGATAAAAAGACTAAAGATGACAGAAAGAAACTTGAAGGCTTTAATTTGTGGTGCTGGAAAAGAGTATTGAATGTTCAATGAACTGTCAAGAGAGCAAAAACAAGGCTGTCCTGCAGAGGCAAACCATATTGCTTCTTGGATGCAAGGATTTTGAAACTCCATCTCCATATTTGGACATGTTGCCAGCAGGAACCAGTCCTAGAAGAAGGACATTATGCTTAGAAGGGTAGAGGGTCAACATAGGAGAGGTAGACTCTGGATTAGGTGGATTGACACAGTGACTTGGGTAATAGGAGTGAGCGTGTCAGAGGCAGTGAGATTGGCTCCAGTCGGGTTCCCAAAACTGTCACACTTTATACAAACAAATTATCTTTCTACAAACTGTCTTCATACAAACACCTTTCTTCTTCCAGCCTTTTGGAAGCCAAACGCTTAACTGTTGTGCCACCTAGCTTCCAAAATCAGCCATACTCCCCAGACAGTCATTCAAATACAGCTGTTGTTGAGGTTTGTTGGGTTTTTTTCTCCCACAGCTGGTGGATTCAAACTCCTTGTCTTTGCGTTTGCACTGCAATTCCTTATCACTAGGCCACCAGAGCGCCCTAGTCTAGGCGGTTGTTGTTATGTGTTGTCCATTCAACTATGACTCATAGGGACCCTATGAGTAACAGCTTTGAACCTTGTCCTGTCCTGTGCCAACTTCACTATCTCTGACACACCTGACCCTATTGCCGCACTCTGTCAATCCATTTCATCCAAGTATGAGGATTTTCTGATCTGATTACTTCTGTGGCGGCATCATTGGAGGGAAACACTTCTTCCACATATGGTGACCTCATATTTTGATGCTCTTCAGACGTAATACTGATAAGAGGAGGGAGCAGCCTGTACTTGCGGCAGCATCCCTAAACAGAGACCTTCACCACCCACGCTGGGTGTTGGCATTACTGGATGTGCTTCTCATAGATATTCTATCAGATTTGGCTCTCCATATTGGAGACTAGGTGAAGCAGCTGGACTCAAAGATGGGATCTCATTTTGCTTGAAGGTCGACCTTCTAGAGGGCCCTAGTATTTAAAAGTTGGGCCTCAGGGATTATATTTCAATCCCTTGTTACTGTATTTTGGAGGAACATTCTAAATTGTACAGCACTCTTCTGTTAATTTGCTGTGCTGAGGTAGGTAATCTGGGTTTGCTGTGTTGCTGAACCGTGTGCCATTGGGGTTTCAAATGCCATAATCGCTGCCCATGGTGGACAGTGTTTGGTGGAGCTCCCAGTTTAAAACAGATTTGGAAGCAGGAGTGGCATCCACTTCCTAAACCACAAGCCTCTGGAAAATATGAACTTAGAGAAATAACGATATTTATAGAAAGGCTTCAGGTCTTTTGTTCTTAGGGTTGCTGTGAGTTGTGCAATCAACAACAGAGACATCAAAGTTTATGCCAAGCTCCCACCCTGACTGTTAATCTGGGCAAAAGGGGCCAAAGAGAAGAAGGAAGAATTAAGAACTCAAATGCTGATGGCCTTGCCTGTTGCTGATAAGAACAAATGGCCTTGCTTGTCTAGCCAAGCTAGCAGGTGGCTCGTGAATCAGAATGGAATGTCCCTCCCTAAAGACTGTTTCTAAAAATCCTCCCCAGTAAGTTCACAGTGTGACTTCCCATTCTGCCTCTGCAGGGTGCGGAACTCACCTGGGAGCTCCCTTTCCCCTTTAATAAAGCTGCATTAAGCTTTCTCTCCTTCTGATTGTTTCTTTAAGTCCACTAACCTAACCTAACACTGACCACCTTGGGCATCCATACTTGAAGGCCACTAGGCCTCCAGCCTCTTGAGTTTTGGGGTCAAGGGGCTGATCCCACAACCGGCCTCTTGAAGAGGTACAGGCTCGTCTTCCCAGAGCTCACTGGGTTGCCATTTTCACTACCGAAATGAGACCGGTGACAGCAAGAGTCATTTCCACGTGATTTGTCTCATTCCTGGGTTGAACCTCCCCTCAAGGACAAACCACCTGGACTTGATAGAAACCCGTGTGTATTTGCCATTTGTTTCTCCAAACGATTCTGATTCATAGTGACTTTGTGGGATAGAGTAGATAGTCTTCATAAGGATTCCAAAGCTTTATGAAAGTCGGCTGTCATATCAGTGTCCCAAGGAGCGGATAGTGGATTCAACCACCGACTCTAAGGTTGGAATCGACCAGGCTGCGAGGGTTGTTTTTTTTTTGTTGCCCCAACCTAACATGGCGCCCACAGCCGCTCCTTCCTTGATCCTGAAAAGACGAAGGGAGCCGGGACAGCATCAAAGATGGTGAAGGCGTCTTCATTCTCCAGTCTACGCACGCACCTCTCGCCTCCACGCCCACACTCTCTATGGTCTTTACCACCTCCGCTCTAGCTGCCGCTCTCGGTGGTCGCCGCCGCCGCCCAATCACAGAACGCGGAGGCCGCTCGCCCCGCCCCGCGAATCAGCTGAGGGAACCGGGATGTGTGTTGACAGCGGCGGCGTTGCAGCCGGTTCCGGGTTCGGCGGGGGCCGAGGGGTGAGCCGAGCGGGCGGCGAGGCTGGGGCGGGCTGGCCGGGGAGGACGGGCTGCAGCCGCGGGGGACGGGCCCGCCTCCCCGCCGGCGTCTCTTCCCGGCCCAAGGCGGTGTTGCTTTGGCCTCGGAGCCGCAAGGGCGACGGGGAAGGAGACCCACTGGCGGGCGGGCGGGCGGCTGTGTGGTGGGCAGCGCTCACTGGCGTCTCGGTGTGTTAGATGTGAGTCCAGATGGAGGAGCCCGAGGAAGGCGAGCGGTCTGGGGCCAGCTCCTCCGCCTGGGTGCAGAGGAGGGCGAGCCGCACATCCTGTTGTGGAAACGGGAGTGGACCATCGGGCGGAGAAGAGGTGCGGGTGCTGGGGACCCGGGGATCGAGGAGGGGGCCCAGGGGCCGGGGATGGGGGCCCGAGGACTGGGGTGGGGAATGGGAAAGGCGACGGGTGTTGAAAGTGGGCGCCGATGTTTGGAGGGGGGCCCTGATCGAAGGGCAAAGGAGGGGAGGGGCCGCCCCTGGCGGGATGGGCGGCGGCGGAAGGCGCCCACTTGGCAGCTGGGAGGCCATGGGGCAGGGACGCCTTGTGTTCCAATTTTTCCAGTGGAATGCATTCCTGTAGAAGAGCTAGCTGCCTTTTATTGAGTTGCCTGCCAGTCCCTCTTCTAAGTGTTCCATGCCCTTTACTTTGTCCTCATCGTGACAGTTTTATGAAGTTGGTGCAGAAAATGAATCTCTAGAATACAAGCTTCTCCAGTTTATTTATTACTAAACGTATTTTCTGAGCACAGTGGACTGAAACTAGGCATCGTTGGCAGAAGGAAAGCTGGAGAATTCATGTTGTTGTTGTTGTTGACTGCCTTCGAGTCGAGCAAGACTCACAGCGACCCTATGAACAAAAGGCCTGAACCCCTTCTAAACTATCGACATTTATCCGAGTTCGTGGAGTTTCCGGAGGCATGTGTTTTAGGAAGTGAATGCCACTCCTGCTTCCAAAGGAGAATTCATACATATGTGGAAATTAAACATCACCCTCTTAAATAACCAATAAGGGTTTTTTTTTTTTAATTTAATTTTATTTTAATGAACATTTACAGAGATTTTGGATTTCCATTCATTCATTGTTGCACGTTTTTCTCTACCCACCCCCCCCCATAAGTTTTTTGAAAAACGGAAGTTAGGAAGTACTTGGAGAAGAAAAAAAATACATGAAATATCAACTTACGGGATGCAGATAAAACAGTGCTGGAAGGAAAGATGATACCTATAAATGCCTTCATTGAAAAAGAAACAAGATCTCAAGTCTCTTTATTTTGTTCTGCTTGCTGCTAGACCTCCAGCTCTTAGAATTATCTCCTGAACCTTGGTGGTGGAGGCTGTAAATCTTGATGGGAGGAAACTGCCCTCTTTCACCATGAGAGCAGTTAATAACCAGTGTGTGTGTGTGTGTGTGTGTGTGTGTGTGTGTGTGTACACCATCAGATCGGATCTGACTGGCAGAGCATCTGGAGGATTTGAACCGTGTCCCTCTGGGATTGCAGTGCAGCTTCTTGCCACTAGGCCGCCAAAACTCCTCTAATAACTATTTTTTTAGCCCCACAGACTGCTACACTACACCAGACCACTATACATTCTTTTTGTTGTTTGCCTTCCAGTAGCGCGTGACTCATGCAACCCTGTGAACAAAAGGCCTGAAGCCCCTCTACAACCGTCAGTTCATACGTTTACCAGTTCATACAGTTTTTCTGAAGCATGTTGTTTAGGAAGTGGACGCCACTCCCGCTTCCTCTCTTAGAACTACTCAATTTATTGTTACTTGATGGATTAAGGAGTTGTACCAGGGCACACAGTGAACACCTTAAGGTTTGCTGCTGTTGGTCTCAGGATGAAAATCTGGCCATTTGATCAACCCCCTTCACTTGCCTAAGGTGTATTTGATAAAATTGCTTGAGTTGGTATCAACAGCAATGGGTTTGCTTTTACTTTGATGACTTTCCTAGGCTGCCAGGGCGCCTTTCTTTTTTTATTGTTCTGTCCCATCACTTTGGAACCAACTTCTAGTTGACCCTTCAGCAGGTTTTCAGAGAACCATTACACAGTGCTATTCAGAGCACTTCCCGTGCATAATCTCCTCATATCCGCACAGCAAGTCGTCTTTGAGGTGGTTACAAAAGAAGGAGGAACTAGTAGGTGATAAGAGGGGGGGGTGCCAGAGGGAGGACCCATGTGGTCTGTCTCAGGACCTCTGCGGTTTTCCAGGCTCTCATGATACCCACCTAAGCCAACTAATGGGAATTTTCAAACACTTTTAGAAGCCACCAAACCCAGGACCGTCAAGCCCAAACAGACTCACAGCTGACTTTCCATTGGAATTCTGAGGCTGTAAATCACAAAGGGGATTCCTCTTCTTTGTCCTGAGGAGGACAAAGGACTTAAACCTGGTGGACTTAAACCACATGCTTTTGGCTTGGCAGCACAGCTCTTACCATTGGGCTAGCAGACCCCTAATTTATTTCATTTATTTTATTTTTTTTAGTCTGAAATCCTCAAGTATGGATTTTTTTCTTTTCTTTCTTTGGTTTTTGTTGTAGGGCTGTTGGGATTTATTTTTACAATTTGGAAAGTAGTTGCTGCCTTTGTAGCTACTTCAGAAGTGACTGCTGTGAGGGTTCAGTGAGATTATGTATGGAAAGGGCGCAGAATGGAGCTGAGCTTACAGCCTTCTCACGTGGGAAACGCTGGCCATTGTTATTACAGCACTGTGTGGTGGTATCTCTCTGTGGGTTTGATGTTGACTTCTCGGATGACCAGTGATGCATCTTTTCTTGTGCTTTTCTGCCGTCCGTGTTTCTTCTTTGGTGAAGTGTCCAGACTTTTTTATTACCTCCATGCCACGTTCTTCTCATTTGTCTCTTGTTATTTTTTTCTATATGGTCATTGCTTGCTATCATGATTAGATATTTAAAAACCTTCTAGGGAGCTCTGGTGGCCTACTGGCAAGAAGCTGCCCTGCAATCCCAGAGGTACGCAGTTCAAATCCACCAGATGCTCTGCTGGAGAAGGAGGGGCAATGTCCTCCTGCACCAGTCAGATTCGATTTGACAGTACACACAGAAAAAAATCATAATTTTTTTTAAAAAAACACCACCACCTCCTTCTGCATTTAATGAGGCTCTAAATGATTATATATGAAGTTCTGGTGGCATAGGGGGAAGGAATTGGGCTGCCAAAGCAGAGGTATGCAGATCTAATCCATCAGCTGCTCCATGGGAGAAAGATGGGCAGTCTCCCCCTGTGCAGGGTACTGCCTCTGAAAACCCACTAGAAGGTCAGCTATGTGTTCGTTCTGACTTGATGGCACACAATAACAACAACAAATAAATGATAATGTATGTAGCTATAGTCCTCTTCCTCTGTTTTTGTAGGGTCTTATGTGCATATGTAGACCTATAATCATTTGCCCAATCCTGTTTTTTGTGATTCTTTTTTTATTGCAGCTAAATCAAAGATCACACAAAGGAATAGAGGACTAAAGAATTGCTCAAAGATCACACAAAGGAATAGAAGACTAAAGAATTGCTTATGTCAGGGGAGCTCTGGTGGCCTAGTGGCAACAAGCTGCACTGCAATCCCAGAGATACGTGGTTCAAATCCACCAGATGCTCTGCTGGAAAAGGAGGGGCAATCTCCTCCTGTACCTGTCAGATCTGATTTGACAGTACAGACACACACAAAATAATAAAATTTAAAAAAATAAATAATAATTGCTTATGTCCTAAAAAAATTTTAATGATACTAATCAGGCTGGCTGTATATGCACACAGAGTGTATGTCCTTGATAGGCTCTCTCCTTATAATCATTGCTAGTGACTCAGAACTGACTCATTGCTGACCTTCAGTGGGTGTTCTGAGGCCAAATAGCACAGGAGAAGATTGCCCATCTTTTGTTTCTGCAGATTTTTTTATATACTTCAGAGTGGGGTGGCATCAGGTTTAGCAGTGCAGAGGTCAAGGACACAGCACCTGGCCCTTTTATTTTGACTTAATATTAAAATGCTCTTTATTTCCTTATACCTTGCTCGATTATTCCTTTGGATGCATAGAATGGGGATCCCAACAATTTCATAGTTTGTTTGAATAAGGGACAGTGTGTTCATCATCATACCAATCATAATATCTAATCACTCCCCTGCCCTGTTCTAGGTTGTGACCTTTCATTCCCTGGCAACAAGTTGGTCTCTGGAGATCACTGTAAGATCACAGTGGATGAAAAGTCTGGTCAGGTGTTGCTGCAAGATACCAGGTGAGCCCTGTGAACGTTTTCCGCGTCCTCTTGTCGTTGGGGAGCCCAGCTTGAAATGGGGGTGTGCTAAGTGTTGTGACTGAGAAGCAAGAAAAGACACTTTAATGAAAAAGTTGTGGCTTATTTTCTAAATCTTGAGAGTTAAATCTGTTCTCAGTGCACTAGCGGCTGTGTCTTCCGATTTTGAGAATAGGTTGCACAGTGAGTTGCCACTTACACATTAGTATCTTTCACTCCATGAATATAGTAAAAAGAAAATAAGAATGTTTCAGAAATAAGACTACCTCCTTTTTTTAGTTATTAAATTTTTGCACACTAGAAATAGTATATAGAAAGTGAAAAGCTTTTCCTGATCCTACTGCATGTTAAAAATACATGCACCCAAGGGAGCTCTGGTGGCCTAGTGGCAAGAAGCTACACTGCAATCCCAGAGGTATGTGGTTTGAATCCACCAGATGCTCTGCTGAAGAAGGAGGGGCAATCTCTTCCTGTACCAGTCAGATCTGATTTGAAGGTACACACAAAAAATAATAATAAAAAAAGTGCATCCATTTGTAATGTGTAACTAAAAATGCACATACAAGGGGAGCTCTGGTGGCCTAGTGGCAAGAAGCTGCACTGCAATCCCAGAGGAACACGGTTCGAATCCACCAGATGCTCTGCCGGAGAAGGAGGCGCAATATCCTCCTGTACCAGTCAGATCTGATTTGACGGTACACGCACACAAAATAATAAAAAATAAAAAAAAATGCACATACATAAAAAAATTACATATTCGAATGTAAAAACTCATAGCAGTCTCGATTAGTTTCCCGCTCTGCACACTTCGTGCTCAATCCTGATGTATCTGTCAGTGAGGGCTTGCAGATTGCTGTGTAGCTAGGAAGAAAGGGCTGGCTGTTTACTTCTGAAAATCTCAGCTGTAACTCACAATGGTCCCCAACAATCTAAGCTGTAACCCATCATGGGGATGACACAGGGCTGGGCAGCATTTTGCTCCCTTTTGCCTGGGGTCACCTTGCAATAACAGGTCATGGTCAAGGGTGTACATTCCTGCTAGAGGTCTGGAATTTCTGTTCTGCTCAGGAGCTGTGTCAGTCTCAAGGTAGATGGCTGGGGAGTGATGTTGTCAGGAAGAACTGATCCTCCTTTTTCATTCTGTAGTAGGAAGCAATCTGTGGGGGCAGCTGGTGGATGTCAGTCCTGCGGCGGCCAGTTGATCCCTTCTCACACTGCTGTCTTGCAGCCTTAACTCTGCTGCTACCCGTGTCGGGGATCCGTGTATTTATATGGGGGTCCATCTGCATGATGTGTGTGGAAAACCCTCCACTGGATGGATTGACACAGTGACTGTTGCAGTGGGCTCTAGGGTGTCATAGATTGTGAGGATTGCACAGGATAGGACAGGGTTGAGATCTGCTGGTCAGGGAGATGCTCTGGGTTGTACTTTACAGCACCTAACAACAATCCCGCTTAATCCAGGATAATCTATTAGATTATAATTATCCATGACCCAGAATAATCTGTAGGATTATATAAGAGGGGGGAAGGAAGCAGGTGCTTCTGAGAAGGAGTTGTGATGATGGAAGCGGAGGGCAGAGCGAGCGCTTACGGCTTTAAAGATGGAGCTGAGGAACGCGGGGCCTCAGAAGCTGGAACAGCCACGGAGCCTCCAGCAGGAGCACAGGGCTGTGGACGCCTTGCTCTCAGGACTTCTGACCTGCACAGCTGGAGGGTGGTGAGTCTTTGCTGTATCCAGCCTCCGCCTTTGTTACAGCAGCCACTGCTGATTTATGCCACGTTTGTGTTATGTTGCTCAAGGGTCGGCAAGAAACCGTGATGTTCCTTCTCCTCACTTTTACTTCTGTGACTGCGTTTGCTCTTCCTTGGATCCTGTCTCTGCGGGGTGACTGCTCATTTGTGGACTGAACTGAGTTATGACCGAGGAGGGAGGGGCCTAGAGCTGCTAGGGGCCCCTGAGGACCGAAGAGGCAGAAAATTAGGATAGTTGGGCATTATGAACCAGAGGACATTTCAGACTCTTGATGAGGATATTTGAACTGTAGAGTGCCTGCCTTTTAAATACTTACATCGCTTTGAACATTTTAGTGTTTCTAAGTGGTAATAACAAACTCCTTTCCTCATGGAGCAAGGAAACAATTTTTATTTCCAAGGTTGTTGTTTGTTTGTTTGTTTGCTTGCTTTTTTATCACTTTATTATAGTTTATTGCAGCTAGAAAATATTTGGTCAAATTAGAGGAATTTGCTATTTATTTAATCACTTTTGATCTATAAAAAATGCAGTACCAAAAAAAAACAAAACAACGCAGTACCACCCAAATAAATATAAATCTGTTGATATGTATTACTTGATATGCTGACACTTCTTTATGATATGGTACATAGTTTTCCTATCCAAGTTGTTTTAAATGTGTGGCTTTGTCGTCTTTGCAGTACCAACGGGACGGTGATTAACAAGCTGAAGATCGTCAAGAAGCAGACGTGTCCTTTGCAGACGGGCGACGTCATCTACGTGGTGTATAGGAAGAATGAGCCAGAGCACAGTAAGGGAGCAGCCCCGCCCCAGAGCAGACCACAGGGCCTCCTGCTGCTGCAGGGGTGCAGGCTGCTGCTGCAGGGGTGCAGGCTCCTCCACGTGGAGTCTGTGCAAGGGTGACAAGTGCAAACCTCAGCCACCCTTTGGAGATGCTTAGGGATTTTAGCAGTGACAATCAGATGACGCGAGGCTGGGTCTGGCTGGAACATAGGAGGCTCTGCAGGGTGGGGAGGGAACGGCACTGCAGGGCTGGGTCAGGCTGTAGACTAGAAGTCTTTACCTAGTGGGGGGACAAAGCTGTGGGGCTGGGTCAGGCTGTAGACTAGAAGTCTTTATCTAGTAGGGGGACAGACCTGTGGGGCTGGGTCAGACTGTAGTGCAGAAAGCCTTGCGTGGTGTGGATGGAACTACGGAGCTGGGTCAGGCTGTAGAGTTGAAGTCCTTGTCTAGTGGGGGACAGGACTGCAGGGCTGTGTCAGGCTGTAGTGTAGAAGGCCTTGCAGGGTAGTGGACTTGACCACGGGCCGTGGATGGCTCTGTTTTTGGAGACTCTACAGAGAAAGACCGTGTTGGCTCCCATGGAGATTTCCCAGCTCCAAGAGTCTGTGTTTATGTTTCTGGAAGAGAAATAGTGTAGGAGGAGTGGTGATGGGTTCCTCACAAAGGTCAGGAGAGAAAGATTCCAGATGATTGAAGGGAAGGAAGAAGGGGACATATATTCCCCAGGTCACCTTCAACAGTCACGCCAGCATGTTGCCATAGTAAAGGATCATGTTTCAGCTCTTTTTTTTATGTGGAACTGTGTAAACAAGACATAGATTTTTTTTTTTCATCTTGCCATCTCTGTGTCTTCTCCAAGTTGACCTCCTGATCCCATACATTTGTTGCTAAGGTTTATTTTTTTTTATAATTGATCAAGAGGTTTCCTTCACTTCTTTTGGAATCTCTTTACCCGGCCAATTTTGTGATACTGACCAGATATTCCGAATTGTTAGAGAAGGTGTTGTGGTTGTGAAGTGGCTGGCGGGAGATGTCAGGCAAGAAGGGGACGCAGGTTCTCACCTGTGGGCCCAGAGAGCCTCTGATCCGATCTGTTTCCTCTCAGATGTGGCATACCTCTACGAATCTTTAAAGGAGAAGCCAGGCATCACTCGGGACTCCTCTGGTGAGTACATTTCCCGGCTGTGGAGTGGATCTTCTTATGGGGATTGCCTCTCACCTCCAGTCTGGATTCTTTGCTGAAGCAGCGGTACCCCAGCAGACCCTACGGGTGAACTCCTCCTCATTCTGTTGTTACAGAAGCAAATAAGGAAAATGTGTTTCTTGTGACCAAAGATACCTCAGGAGCAGGGAGTGGTGGTGTTGCCTGGGCCCCGCCCCCGCCATCCACCACCCCAGCGTGCTTTGAGGAACCACAGCCATCGACATCCACATCAGACCTCTTCCACACGGCCTCTACCTCGTCCACGGAGCCTCCGTCTGCCTCTGTGGGGCAGGAGCTCCCCTCTGAGCCTGGTGAGACTGAGTGCCGTGGCTCTTGCTGGGTCTGATGGGCTGGGGTTAGTCCTGAGCTCTATGTTATTACAGAGACAGAGGGACAGCACAAGTACTCAAGTGTGTGTAGTCAAAGATTCTCCATGGTGCTGTTTTCATAGTGGCGAATACAGCGCTTTCATTCCATCCACAGAGAAATGATGGTAGAATCCGCTATTCATGATTTCTGTGCAGCTTTGTTGAGAAGTGATTTATATCCCGTGGAAGTCATCTGTAAAAAGAGCAGGAGCCACGGGCTGACAGCTGTATCTGACCTTCACTGATTCCATAACGGGAATCTGTCCTTGTCAACACAAAACCAGTTTGCATAAAGTCAGACATAGGGGAGCTCTGGTGGCCTAGTGGCAAGAAGCTGCACTGCAATCCCAGAGGCGCACGGTTCGAATCCACCAGATACTCTGCCGGGGAAGGAGGGACAATCTCCTCCTGTACCGGTCAGATCTGATTTCACGGTACACTCACACACAAAATAATAAAATAAATAAAAAGAAATAAAGTCAGACATGTCCCCCATGTTTTCACGCCTTTCTACTCATCCCAACACCAATCTCACTCCTCTACTGGGTCTGAAATCTGTGGTGATAGCCTGCAGACCGCATGGAACTATATTAGGGAAGTGAAAAGGCTATAATTCAGGTTAGTAGCAGAATACAGTTGCTTAGGACAACTTCTGAAATAGCAGCACTGGATCCTCAGTCTTAGCCTCACCATGGCTTTAGGCTGTGGAATAAGGCTCTCAGTCCTGCAGTTATGGCTCCCCCCAATCATTCCTCCAGCGCGCTTGGTCCAAGGCTCTTAGCTCTGGTTCTGTGGAGTAACAGGCCCGAGGTCCACTCTGTCTCATGTCAGGTCTTTGGTTCTCTGCTGTGGCCGCTGCTCCCTCAGGCTCTGGTCTGGCTTGTGCAAGAGTCTCTAGCACCAAAGGGCACGCTGCATTCTCTTGCTTCTCTGTTGGTAGGGAGCTTCTCACCATGATGTGTCGGAATTATTTCTTTTCACTTCATTATCTCAAACCCTTAATTGAAAGAAAATGTGGGTCAAACTGGATCAAGCCTAGTTTATTCATAGCTGTGCCCTCTTGTGTGTGAGAACTGATGGGACTTCACATGTTGAAACATCACCCAACCAGATGGACAGAACCTTGCCTCCTCTCCCGCAGGGCCTGGAGCAGCAGGCCTCCCTGCACAGAGAGGTGGCGCTGCCGTGGCAGACGAGGAAGCCACCAGCTTTGTGTCTACACTCCCCGGCAAAGAGGGCTCGGCCACATCTTTGTTGGAGCTGCAGGATCAGGAGGACTGGGAACCCTTGAGAAAGAAGATGAAAGGAGGTGAGGCCAAGCAGCACCGAGGTCCCTGGGTTGTGTGAGTGCCATGGGAAGGCCACGCCTGTGCTGGGCAGACGCTGTTCATGAGGCCGCTGTGAGTCGGCGTCAAGTTGGTGGCACATAATACAGTTGTTTGGCAGCTGATCCGCATGACCTAGTCGTCGTACTGCATTCGGAACCTCTTTTCTGTGGCGTTAACAGTTGCTTTCATACAGAACCAGAATACTTGCAAACGTGCCGCTTGACGTGACGCTTATCATCTGTGTCTGTGCAGCAAGGCCTTTCTCTGCTTCTAGCAGCCTCGGGGATTTCTGGGCCTGTTCGAGAGATGTTGACCAAATGGAAAGACCCTGAGCATATTTCCTCCCCTCCTGGAACTAACCCCCCCCTTTGCCCTTTGCCAGACGGGGAACAACCTGGTCCGAGTCCTCAGCTGCGTATGCCAGACCTCTGTCAGGACGTCCCAGCCGGCCGAGAAGACGGCCGTGCTGCAGCTGTGAAACCGGACAAGATGGAGGAGACACTCACCTGCATCATCTGTCAGGAGCTGCTGCACGACTGTGTGAGGTACACAGGGAGGGGGGCCGGGGTCCTCACCTGAGGAGCAAGGAGAGGGGTCTCCAGGGTCCTCACCTGAGTTACGAGATGAGGTGACAGGATTTACTTGTGAAGTAAGAGAGAGGGTGCCAGGGACTTCATGTGAGGAACAAGCGGAGGGGGTGACAAGATTGTCTTGTGAGGTGACAGTGATCCACTCTTGCGCACTGTCTGTGTGAGGTGTGAGCGAGAGGGCACCAAGGTCCTCACATGAGGACTAAGGAAAGGGGACACCAGGGTCCTCACATAAGGTAGAGGACGGGGTGAAGTGAGAGGAGAGGTAGGATGTCGGAATCTACGTGAGGTATGAGGAGCCCACCCCCTGCCTGTGCACAGAGGCCCCCCTTGCCCACCGTGCCGAGCCCGCAGCCCCTCTTCCCCCCGCAGCCTGCAGCCCTGCATGCACACCTTCTGCGCGGCCTGCTACTCAGGCTGGATGGAGCGCTCGTCGCTGTGCCCCACGTGCCGCTGCCTGGTGGAGCGCATCTGCAAGAACCACATCCTCAACAACCTGGTGGAGGCCTACCTCACCCAGCACCCAGGTGAGCCCAGCTGCCGGGCCCCAGGCCCACGTCAGGGACCCGGCCGCACCCGCCCTGAGCCATTCCTCTCCTCTCCAGACAAGGGCCGCTCCGAGGAGGACGTGCGGAGCATGGATGCCAGGAACAAGATCACTCAGGACATGCTGCAGCCCAAGGTCAGGAGGTCGTTCTCCGACGAAGAGGGCAGCTCAGAGGACCTCTTGGAGCTGTCCGATGTGGACAGTGAGTCCTCGGACATCAGGTGACCCCTCGCGGCATGGAGTGGGGTGGGGACCGTAACGCAGTGTGGTGGGAGACTGCTGAAAGTGGGCGAGATGGGTTTTGGTCCTCATGGCCCCCCCATTCTGGTGAAGGAGTGACTGATGGGTGATGTGGCATTTCCTGCCCTTGATGAGGACGCGTCACGGCTCAGCTGGCTCAGTGGCCTGTTGTGTCTTCAAGCAGGTGTTGGGTACCGGTCCTTCTCTGTAGTTCCATCACTACCCTTTTACTTGCCTGGAGTGCCCTATAGAGTAAAGATCTAGAAACTCGTTGTGTCAGAACCAAAACATGACTGAGCTTTGAATGAGTTTGGAGGCTGTAATTGCTAGGAGGCTGCTGCCCATCATTCTCCCGAGGATCAGCCAGTGGATTTGAACCACGTGCCTTGGAGGCCCAGCGCACCAGTAGGCCTCCAGACCTCTTACCATTAGGCCACCAGATGGGTTCTGGGGCCCTGGAAATTATTCCTGAGTGGGAATCAGTCAGGGGCAGCTGGTATGTGATTGGGCCAGGCTCTCCCCTGGTTCATTTGTGGCCTGAGAAAGCTCTTCTGACAGGGACAAAAGGCTGTGCCAGCACCTGTGAGACGGTGGGTATATGAAGTTGCCGAGATCTAAGCAAGAGTAGATCTGAGGAGGAAAGGAATGAGGCCCAGCAAATGCCAGAAGTGACGAAGGGGCCGGGCGTAGTTTAACACGATTGTGGGAAAGGTCCCAGGTCTGGTGTCTCCTCCAAATGACCCGGGAGCCTTGTCTGTCTGTGTCCAGAACCCAGGCAGCCTGACCCAGGCCAGCACATGGCCCAGCTGGGGAACTGCCCCACCTTGGGATGTGCATGTGGGTGGACGTGCCCTTGTCCGGGATGTGCATGTGTGTGTGGCCCACCACCTCCACCTGGACAGCCCCGTCTACTCCATTTCTCCTGCAGTCAGCCGTACATTGTGTGCAGACAGTGCCCAGAGTCTAGGAGACAGACACAACAGCTGCCCTGCTTGGGGCCAGAGAGCGAACAGGGGACCCCACAGGCCCTTGGGGATGCCCCGTCCACTTCAGCCAGCCTCCCGGCAGGTGAGTCAACAGGTGCACGGAACTCCGCACCTGGATCTGGGCCTCAGGTTTCAGCTGTAGGCCACCCCCTCCCAGGTTGGTGGCTTCTTCTCCAAAAGCTTCCTCTGTCAACAACTTGCTTCTCTGCCCTCACACATAAGAGATGCTGAACTTGACCTGGCGTGCTTTCTGTGGCCTGAGCTGGCCACGGTGGCTATATGTGAGGGCTGGACTATTGCCACTGTGTTCTGACAATCCCTCTCTGCCTCCCCTCAACTGGAAAGGCCACCATTTGTTTTTCCTGGTCCTCTAGGTGGGGACCAAGAAAGCAAACTGTGTCCACTTTTGGATTTGGTCAGATGGACGCCATGACCCTGGTTGCAGACCAGGGTTTTTGCCTTGTCCGTCTTAAGGGTGGAGTTGTCTCACCGAGCAGAAGGAAACCTGCCACATATTTTGTGACACTCTTTGTGGGCCTTGCCCCTTCTTTTTCAAGAAGGAGCAAAATAGCTTCCACCGACCTTTGAAATCTTCCTAACAACCCTTAGCCAAAGCACAGTCTTCAGTTATTTTTCAGTCTGTTGACACCCACTTGGTTTAGGTGGTGACGCACCACTTGTCTCTTTGCAAAACCCTCAGTGTTCTTTCTGACTTCACCTGATGGCTGTTTGTTTCCCGTGGTCTTCCTGGCTGCGGTGTCTCCACAGCGACCCAGGACTATGTGTGCCCGGCGCAGGGGAGCCATGCCGTCTGCACCTGCTGCTTCCAGCCCATGCCCGACCGCAGAGCGGAGCGCGAGCAGGACCCCCGAGTGGCCCCCCAGCAGTGTGAGTGCCCTGTCCTGCACTCACCCCCACACCTCAGGGCCTGTGGGCCTCTGTGAGTGGGAGCGCGGCTTCTCAGACATTTAAATGGTGTGCTCACTTCAGCAGTGTGTCTTCTGAAATTAGAATACGAGGGAGATCAGTGTGGCCCCCGTGTAAAAACGATGTGCAGCTTCTCAAAGCATGTCTTGTTTTCTTAAAAAAAAGCTTAAAGATCACTTAGTTAAATATCGCATCATTGTATTACATTCTGTAGAATGTGAAGCGTCGGCAGTAATGCTGACAGAGGTGAGGGAACACGGCTAGCGAGTGGTTCTGGCAGTGAGGGAAGGCAGGACAGAGTGTGAGGTGTGCCTGGAACACGTCACCTGGGCAGTTGGATCCTGAGGGAAGCTCCGTGGCAGCCACGCCTGGGCCAGGGGAGGTGGCCCTTCCGATCATGGCCATGTTGCCTGGCAGTGCGCATGTGCGGAGTGGTGAGGGTCTCCGTGGGTCAAACACCCCTCCGGTGTTAGCTGGGAGGTGGGCTCCATCTGGGTTCTGCAGACGCTGGACCTGACTGCCCTCCTTTGTCCCCAGGTGCGTCCTGCCTGCAGCCCTTCTGCCATCTGTACTGGGGCTGTGCCCGTGTCGGCTGCTTCGGCTGCCTGGCCCCACTCTGTGGTGAGGCTGCCCTCCTCCCCTGCCTGTCATCTGTTGTTTCCCTTGTGTCCTGTCCCTCTGAACAGGGTGGGTGTGCCCCGGCTAACAGCGAGGAGGGGGGTGACTGCCTTTTCCTGGTGACCTGCCTGGTTCACTGTTCTAGAAGTATCCAACCCGTGTTAGCTCAGAACTGAGTAGTGATGGGCTTGGAGAAAGCACAGCATTCAACGTGTGGGCTCTGTTCAGCCACGGACACCGATGCTGGTAGTGTCGCCTGCTGTGGCTTTCCAGTACGAGTCCCTGCCAGGCACTCTGTCACCAGAACTTTCTAGAACTGAGCCCTCTTTGCGCCAGAACCTGTAGTGAGGGGGGAGCATGGTCGTCTTACCTGCCAGCCCAAGCAGTGTCCTTAAAGAGTGACAGCGTGGCTGCTTTTTTCCCACAGAGCTCAACCTTGGGGAAAAGTGTCTGGATGGTGTGCTGAACAACAACAACTACGAGTCGGACATCCTCAAGGTACCTGGGTGAGGCTACGCATGGCCATGGGGCGACTGGGCCAAGCTCGCAGTTAGTCCTGCTTCTGACCACATGGGCCGGGCTGGTGCTTCTGACCCGTGACTTCGATCCCGCAGTCCAGCCCCATAAGTGTGTCTCGGCTCCAAAAGGGCCTTTCCTCTGTGCCCTTCAGGTGGTGCCCAGGCCTCTCCCTGGGTCCCTCCCTCTCCTGCCCACTCCTCTCCCATTTGGTAGCCCGCATGGCCCTGAGATGTCTCGCTGTCCCATACGCCTCTGCTCTGCTGAGCTGACAGGTGGGCTTCTGTTTGGAGGCCAAGCAAGTAGTGGTTGTGGTGAGCTTGGAACATTAACATTCTGCTTTCATGTTCTGTATGGAACAAAGCACATGTTTATCCGAAGACCTCAACAAAAACCCACTGCCCTTGAGTCAGTCATTATTTGTGGCAACCTTCCATTGTATTTCTAGGGCCAAAAGCCTTCGTGGGAGAAGGCTGCCCATCTTTCTCCTACAAATCAACTGTTGGATTTGAACTGCTAACCTTTTGGTCAGCACACTAACTCAAAATGCTCTACATTGCTAGGGTTCCTGATGGTTTCCAAAGGCTTTGAATAGTTGTGCTCCGGGCTTCTCCGGTAAACAACTTCTTTGTGGTGTCAGTCTGTTGCTCCCAACCATCTTGACTGATATAAGTGTTTGAGAGTTTATACTTGAAAGTCAATTCTTGAACTTTTTTTTTTAACATATGAATTTACTGGATATCAAATGAGTCCATCTGATGCTCTTTGACCATAGTTTTCCTTTTTCTAAGGCAAGGCTTCATCTGGCAGTAAGAGGCCACTTGCAAAGAGCCTGGTCATCCACTCGGGCAGTATGGCCTCAGGGTGGCTGGCCCTTTACAGTGCCCCCTCCAGGTCCACTTTACTGGTGATGCCTCAGTTGCCTGGGCATCTGTCTCTACACACACTCCTCTGCTTCTGTCCTCTCCACTACAGAATTACCTGGCAGCTCGGGGCCTGACGTGGAAGAGCCTGCTGACTGACAGCCTGGTGGCCCTGCAGAGGGGGGTGTTCCTGTTGTCCGGTAAGAGTTATCCTGGCTGCCTCCCCACCTTCTACCCCCAACCCTGATGCTGGAGCTCCTGGGGTGCCTTTGTCTCACGTAGAGCAGTGAGCATGAGCTAGCCACTCCTCACAGGAGGCAGAGAGCAGCAGAAAGTACATAGGACTACTGTGTATTTTATTTTTCTATTATATTATTTTTATTTGAGTGGAAATTTACAGATCCTCCTGGCTTTTCACTCATTCAAGCATGTTTTGTTTTAGAACATTAATTGCAACTGATTCATTAATTACAGTGTCTGTTAGACTCATTGGCTAATGCCTTTCCCTTTCCCTTTGCCCAACTTAATCCATTTCTAATTCCTTTTCTCCTCTCCTCTCTTTCTCTTCCCTGGTAACTCTCCAAGGGTGATTCTGTGTGTTTGTTGAATTTTGTATTTACAATGATGTATTTATTGCAACTACTTTTTTTTTTTACATTTTTATTGTATTATTTTTACATGTACCATCAAATCAGATCTGACTGGTACAGGAGGAGCTTGCCCCCTCCTTCTCCAGCAGAGCATCTGGTGGATTTGAACCATGATTCTGTGTGTTTGTAAACCTTTCCTTAGCATTTTCTGTTAGAGGCCTCATGACAGACTGGTGACTGGCTTATGTCTCGCAGCATAATTTCATCTGGATTCATCCGTGTTGGACCGTCTTTCTTAATTTTTCTTTAGTGATGCACACCACTCCGTTGTGTGAACGCATCATAATTTCTTTATCCATACGTGCGTCACTGGGTGCACGTACATCAGACATTAGTGGGTTTTTCTTAGACCTTATGTGTTTTTAAAAAACTAAACTGTCGTTGATCCTTCTGCTGCTTCATGTCACATAGCTCCCCGTGCTGGCTCCGAGTCCTGAGACCGGATGTTCCCGTCACCCAGTGTAGGCTCAGCCCGTCTGTGCACACATAGCAGTTTGTGAAGTAAGATTTTTGTCACTTGAGGGCAGCAGTATAAGGCATAGACTGTTAGAGAAGAAAGACTTGACGGCCAACTGGCAGCTTCAGTGTCTTCTGGGTGGTTGAACGGCCCTGTTGTTTCAGCTGTGTTTTAGTGCTTGACTTGATAGTAGCCTTGAAGCTTGCATGAGAATTTTGTGCCTCACACAAAGTAAAACACAAATGGTAAGGACACAGCGGTGGTTATACATCTGTCCCTCTGTCCAGCACTGCCGACAGAGATGGCATTTGGTGACTCCCATCCCAGCCCCGTTAGGATCATTTGCCCACCTCTGCATAGAAGCTTCTGGAACCCCCAGAATCCCCCCTCAGCTGTGTAGTGACCTCAGTTTTTACTCCATGGTGTGTCACGGTCCCTTTTTGTGCCAGCAGAGGTCTGTGTCATGAGATTATCACCGGCTCATTCATTAAAGATCCTTACGTAATTTCCACTTTCCTCCGATTTTAAACAGCACTGTGCTCATTGAACGTGCAGTTCTCTGAATCTGAAAGATTGCCACCATAAGATAACCTTGTGCTGAGGTCAGTGGTGCGTGCAGTGGGCACTTTGCCCTCCCAGGGGCTGTCTTGGCTCACTCTGTGCCATGGCTGCTTGGCAGAGCCCCCCTGCACCCACCCAGAGACAACACAGGGCTGCTTGAGGCCTGAGAGGTGCACTGTGAGCACCGGCAGCAGTGCCCTGGCTGGCCGGCCTTTGATGACGAGTGGAAGTGGATGTGTTCACACAGTTAGGAGCCACCTGCCGGCGTGCGACTTCTGCCCTTCCTGGCCGTAGGCTTGTGGCTGTTTGTTTCCAGTCTGCGTGAGCGCTCTGTCCTGTGTGGTGTAGTCGTGTTCTCTCCTAGCATCTGTGGTCCAACTGTATTACACATCCTCCCATTTGGACATTTATATTTGTGGGCATAGGACTTCCAGAGCTTTTCGCTTGTCCTGTTTGGTTTGTTTTCCTTTATAGACGGGTTTGTGTGTGTGTGTGTGTGTGTGTGTACCGTCAAATCAGATCTGACTGGTACAGGAGGAGATTGTCCCTCCTTTCCCGGCGGAGCATCTGGTGGATTCAAACCGTGCGCCTCTGGGATTGTAGTTGCAGCTCCTTTCCACTAGGCCACCAGAGCTCCCCTATATAGATGGGTTTTAAAAGGAAAAGAATTTTCCAGCTTTTCTCAGTACTTTGATTTTTTTTTTATTTTAATGAAAGTTTACAGAGACTTTGGATTTCCATTCATTCATTCGTGTTGCACTTTTCTTCCTGCCCACCGCTTCCCCTGATTTTGTTTTCTATTTAAAAAGTTGATTTTTCTTCTTTTCAATTTATTTTTTATTTTATTATTTTTTGTGTGAGTGTGTCCCGTCAAATCCGGTCTGACTGGTACCGGAGGAGATTGTCCCTCGTTCTCCAGCAGAGCATTCGAACCGCACACCTCTGGGATTGCAGTGCAGTAAAAAGTTGATTTTTCATCTTTGGGAAATTCTTTTTCTTAGGAACTAAGTCGCGCTCGAGACTGCTCGTGTTTTTGTTTTCCCAAAGCCCACCAGTTGTCTGTCCCTGTCTTTGGGACAAGGCTGCGCCTTCCTTGTGGTTAGAAAGCCACGCTGCTCTGGATTTTGCCCCAGAGAGCAGCCGGTTGCCACACAAGTCCCTCTTGTCCGCAGACTACAGGATCACGGGAAACACGGTGCTGTGCTACTGCTGTGGCCTGCGCACCTTCCGGGAGCTGGCCTACCAGTATCGGCAGAACATTCCCGCCTCCGAGCTGCCAGGTACGGAGACCCTGTAGCTCCCTTGCTTGAGTGTGGCTTCTTCCGCTCTGGCCAGGAGCTGCAGGCCCAGCAAAAAGGAGCAACTGGCCAGGAGCACACCTGGCGGCGTGCGGAGCCCTTGGTGGAGGTGAGAACCTCCCCCTTGCAGGCAGCAGCCACCTGGTGTCTGGAAAGTTCGCACAGGCAGCTGACATTAACCAGGGCAGAGTATCTCTTCAGATGGAGATCCAGGGTGACATCCTGTGGGCTCTTGGAGGGCCTTCATTTCTTAGGTTGGGCTTGTTATATTAAACTTCCTCTCCTGACTCTTTGTAGTCTAAAGGAATTGTAGGTGGTCCCCGACCTCAACTGGGGGCTCTGATGATCAGCTCCAACTTAAGTCACGTACCCCATTTTTTTTCTCATTATTACTCTCTCTGTAAATTAGTCATTAGAATTAAGGGCTTTATAACTTATAAATTAAGGGCTTGGAAACGTTAGATGTAAGTTTACAGATCAAATCCTCAAACTTGTAAAAAATGCACATCATAGAAATTGACTCTGATGGTGACGAGTTGGGCACCTTGGGTGATTTGGCAGGTGCATTTGCAGTCACTCCACTCTGGGAAGTGTCTGGGCCCTCTGGGTTATCCCTGTTGCTGAGGAAGAGCTTTCTGTTCAGAAGAGTTGTAAGCGTTGTCCCATTCTTTTCTTCTTCTGTTTGGTGGTAGCATCTCAGCGCATCCTCAATCTGCCTGTCGACTTTGCAAAGCCGGCTTTGCACTGAAGCAGCTGGAGCCCTTCCTTTAGTTCCGAAGGACCCCAATGGGTCCTTTCATCATAAAGCTTTTTGACGCCTTCTCCCTCTTCCTCTTCCTTTCTTTAAGACCCATTAAGTCCTGATTGGTCAGTTCCCCTAAATCTATGGATGATTCCACATCTGAGGCATCAGATTTAAGTTTCATGTTCTTGCCAAGTGGACAAGTTTTTCAACCAGTCTTGCCCATCACGGTGTTCTTTTCAAATGCATGGAACATATGTAGTTTTTTTAAAAAAATCCATTGCATGCATTTTTTTCCTGACCTCCTCTTGGGAAGAGCAGTGTTCAGATACACTGATGGGTGTTAGGTGTGGACGGTTAGAATTAAGAATTCTGTAAGGCAGGGATTTCTTGTGAGTAGCAAGCACCCTGGCACTTTGACTGTAGTTTGTTTTTGGAATTACGTTCAAGTTTAGTTAGCTGAACTTGTCTGTGACTATATATATATATATATAGTCTAATTTTTTTTTTTTAAATTTTTATTTTAGTGGCTGTAACATCCCGTCCTGATTGTTATTGGGGTCGCAACTGCCGAACTCAGGTGAAAGCACACCATGCCATGTGAGTGAGTGGACATAGCCAAGGCAGTGGGGTCCCCCACTGGGGTTGGGGTCACACCGTGCCAGGTGGGTGAGTGGACACAGCCAGGACAGTGGGGTTCAGGGGCAGGGTCACACTGTGCCATGTGGGTGAGTGGACACAGCCAGGGCAATAGTATGCCACAGGGGTTGGGGACCAGCCACAGCTCTCTTATCAGAAAGGCAAGTGCTTTGTTATAAGCGGTTGGGCCAGTCTGATTTGGCAATAGAAACCCTATATCCTTTAACATTTGGGAATCCTGATGTTTGAATGTTAAGCTCAAAGTCAGCAGTTCAAATGTACCTGCTGCTTCTTGGCAGAATGATGACACATTCTGCTTCCAGCCAGATTCCAGCCTTGGAAACCCTGTGGGCAGTTCTGCTGTGTCCTGTCCTGTGGGATTGATTCTCCCAGTTGGAATCACCCAGTGGCGGTGGGCTTGGTTTGCATTCTTCTTTAGTATTTAGAGATGTGCCTGAAGCGGCTTACGTGCGCTTACCAAGACATGCTTTAGTCTTTATACTGCCGTGAAGTCACATGCTTTGTAATACAGTAAAGCCTTTAGAAACCCTGCTCTTCTCTATTACCTAGTGCTGTGAAACATGTTCACAAACCCTTGGCAAGCGTGTTCACAGCTTGAGCCCAACGTCCATTCACCGAACAGTGCCCCCACCTGGCTGGATGTGAGATCTGCAGGCCTGAGTGGCGTGTCAACAATGAACCCACCCAGCCCGTGACCTGACCGTGGGGGTGTTTGCCTGTGATTCTTTTTTTTTTTGGTTGTTTTTGTTTTTGTTTTTTTACTTTATTATTTGTGTGTGTGTGAGTGTACCGTCAAATCAGATCTGACTGGTACAGGAGGAGATTGTCCCTCCTTCCCCAGCAGAGCATCTGATGGATTCGAAGTGTGCCTGTGATTCTTAAACATGGTCTTTATGAGGCTCATTCACACATCTCATTGCAAATGCCCAGGAATGATTTCTTCCATTTTTAAACGATGAGTTTTTATCACAGTAAGCATCCAGCACCCCTGTGGATCTGTGTTGCTTCTGACTAGCTGCAACTTGGGGTCCGAGCTAGCAGCTTGTGAGAGGAAGTCCGTCAGCAAAGACCCCCGCTGAGGAGTAACCCTGTAGGCAGCCATTGTGTTTAAGAAGAGGCTTCATTTGGAAGTGGCCAGCGTATCCCAGTAACACGATGAGGGAAGGTTGAGAGTGTCCCCAAGTCTCCCCATGTAGACGATGCCCATTTCTGTCCCGTTCACGGAACCTCACACCCACTTCTGTGGTGCTGGGAACCTGTGTTCCCTGAGGGCCCTCCTACAGGTCTCCGAGACCCTCGTCCAGAAGAATGGCTTAAACATGTTGAATTCTATTAAAATTTAAGAGAGGGAGCAGAAGGCTACCCCTTTCCCCCCCAATTTTTTAATTTTATTATATTTTGTGTGTGTACCATCAAATCGGGGCTGACTGGTACAGGAGGAGATTGCCCCTCCTTCTCCAGCAGAGCATCTGGTAGATTTGAACCGTGTCCCTCTGGGATTGCAGTGCAGCTTCTTGCCACTAGGCCACCAAGGCTCCCTTAGAAGGCTGCCTTTTAAGATGAGTTTCTTTGTATTAAAGTTATATTACTGTGAGCTCCAAATTTCCTGCCAGTTTTGCCAGGAAATTTGGAGGACAGCTGTCTGGCCGACAGATTTAGAAGAGAGCCATATTTGTTCCCATTCCCAAGAAAGATGATCCAATAGAATATGGAAACTATTTGAATAGTATCATTAATATCATGTGCAAGCAAATTGCTGCTGAAGATCATTAAAAAAGGGCTAGAAGAGCACATAGATGGGGAACTGCACTCAAGTGGGATTTAGAAGAGGCCATGGCTCCAGGAATATCATTGCTGATATCACATGGATCCTGGCTGAAGGTAAGGAATACCGGAAGAATGTCTATTTATGCTTTTATTGATTATGCAAAGGCATTTGACTGTGTGGATCATAACAAGTTCTGGCTAACATTGACAAGAATGGCAATCCCAAAACACTTAATTAAGCTCATGTGAATCCTATCCCTAGACTAAGAGGCTGTTGTGTGAACAGAGCAGGAAACACCACATGGTTTAAAATTAAAAAGGGAGTGCATCAGGATTGTATTCTCCTTCCATACCTATTCAATCAGTACACTGAACAAATTATTAGAGAAGCTAGGCTCTGAAGAAGAATATGGCATCGAGATCGGAGGAGAACTCATCAATAACCTGCATCATGCATATGCCACAGCCTTGCTTGCTGCAGGTGAAGAGGACTTGAAGCACTTGAAAATCAAAGAATACAGCCTTCAGTATGGCTTGCATCTCAATGTCAAGAAAACAAACATTCTTACCACTGGACCGATAGGGCCACATCATGATAGATGAAGAAAAGATGGAAACTGTCAACAACTTCATCTTACTTGAATCCACAATCAATACTCTTGGTACTAGCCAGTTAGGCAATCAGGAGATACACTGCACTGTGAAAGTCTGTAGTCAGGAACCTCTCCAAATTATTGAGAAGCGGTGATGTCAGTTTGAGGACTAAGGTGCTTCTGATTCAGGCCATGGTCTTTGCAAACACTTGCTGTGCATCTGAGGCCTGGACAGTGGTTCAGGATGACAGAAGAATTAATGCCTTTGAGCTGTGGTGTTGGAGAAGAGCACTGAATATCCAATGGACTGCCAGAAGAATAAGCAAATATGTCTTGGAGAAAAGTGCAGTCAGAGTGCCCCTTGGAGGCAAAGATGAAAACGTTTTGCCTCACATGCTTCCGGCATGTTGCTAGGAGAGGCTTTTCCTTGGAGAGAGACATCGTGATTGGAGAGTCAGCAAAGTAGAGAGAGGCCCTCAACCAAGTGGAGTGACCAGTGACTGCTGCAGTGGGCTCTAGTGTGTCAGGAGGTGTGAGGGTAGCGCGGGATAAGACGGGGTTCAGATCTCTTGTTCATAGGGTCATACTTGATGGCACCACCACCACCACCATCCATTTCTTACGTGGTTCAGCCAGTTTGCTTTCAAATTTCGGTTTTCTTGATTACTCATGAGCTGCTTTCTTGTGAAATTTGACCGTTCTCTCTTTGCAGGAAATTCAATCATATCTGTGAACAGACACGGTTCAAGAACTAAGCTGAGGTGTTCTGCAGGCGCAGCACCACTCTGATTGGCGAGCAGAGGTTCAATATTGTGTTTTCAGATCTGCTCTGAAGTGAGCATCCTTCTCAGGACACGTGGGTTCGGCGGCAGGGACTCTCTGGTCTAGTGCTCTCGTTTCCAGAGCTTAACCCGTGAGACAGAACTGGCTGAAGGCCCCACCAGCCTCATCTGTCTTCCCAGCTGGACGTGAATGCCCAGCACACAGTCCTAGGGCCTGGCCTGTCCCCAGGAGCCTCTGGGCACCCGAGAGCTTTTCCCTCAGAAGACTCTGGTCCTTCTTCTAGAGGTGACAGCAATGAGGTTTGATCTTTTTACCTTGTCCTAACTGTGGTTGCTGTGAAGTTCCTCTTCATGAAAAGAGTCATAGGAGACAAGGAAGTTTATCAGATAGTCTTTTTGTTTGGAGGAGAAGGCAAAGGGGAAATACTGCAGCATCCTGATAGCTTTTGTTTTAATCAGCTTGGTGCTTACCTCCTAATAAGATTTAAATGTCACAATAGTAGCACAAATAATATAATTTACAAAGTTGATTAAGATTTGGGGTAGTGTGAGATTTGACAGAATAAATGTATGTTTGTTTCTTGGGGGAAAAACAATTCCTCAGATGTCCAAAACTCTTAACTTTGGAACATGCAGCTGAGCAAAGTAGCACCACTGTCCCTTCCTGAGCAGGTCAGTCTCGTCTGGACACTGCGGTGTGGTACTCTTGGGCAATGAGCGGTGTGGCTGGTCACAGGCAGCGTCCGGGATCTCCCAGGCTGGCCTGGATCCTGGAGCTCCTCTCCTTGACCGCTGCAGCCACACAGCCCTTCCCTGTTGGTCTCACACTCGCCCCTCTTGTGTCCTGGGGCCATTGAGGCCGTAGAGGCTGAATGGAAGCTGGGTGCTGCGAGGGTTCAGCATGGCTTCTAGTGCCAGCGTTGTGTCCCCCTCAAGGCCTCAGCCAGGTGACGTGGCCTCAGCCAAGCCATGTCCCACCAAGGTCCCTGAGCCCCAGAGAGTCCCAGCACCACCTCTCCCCACGGCGTGGCCTCGGCTTCCCCCCGCCCTTTCCCATTAGGATTGCCATTTCATCTGGAATATTACTTGAAATGCTGTTTGTTTGTTTTTTAAAAAAGAAAACGTTTTTTTACCTTATGTTGTGTTTTGCTTGTTGTGCCTGTTCGCAGACTTGTAACTTTGTGCTGCTTCTCAGGAACTGGCTTGTCGGCCGTTGCCTTGCTCTTGGTGCCCGTGCCGAGCAGCAGCCCTACCTGGGGAGCTTCGTTGCTTTCTAGTAACTAGCTGGGTGGGCCTCCCCCCTCGCACCATCCACACCCGGGCTGGGCCTCGCCCACAGTTCTGCAGAAATGGGGGCCGCGCCACTGCGTGAGGACTGTCTGTCTGTCAGGCAGGGGCTCACGCGGCGCTGACCTGTCCAGGGCGCAGTGCACACACCCTCCGTGGACATGCATGGTGTGGGGGGAGCGTGGGCAGGAGATGGCCCTCTACAATCCCAGCTTTCCTTTTCTTGTCAGGCCTCAGGGTGCCGAGTCACTGCCTTACTGACACCCCCTGCCTTGTTGATGCCCTGCCCACTCACTCACTGGCATGTTGATAACCCTGGCCCACTGGCAGCCTCCCTCATTGATACCTCATTTCTCCAACAGTGGAGATTTCTGGTGAGAGTATGCCCACCTCATCCCAGAATGCACTGGGGTCTACAGGAGAGAACCAGTTCTCAGAGCCCGAGCAGACCTGCTAGTGGCTGCGAGTAATGGGGTAGCTGGATGTGGGCCCCACCATGTTGAGGGATCTGTATTTCCTGAGGCCCATTCCTCCCCTCAAGAAAGAACTTCCATGCTCTCCAAGTCATCGTCTGTCTCACTCCCACTGTCCATCTGCTCAGGTGTGGTCGTGGGCCTCCGAGGGGTTCCTGGGCTGCTGCTGGGATCCCCACTGCGCTGAGCTCAAGACAGACCAGCCCTGAGACTCCCACAGCTCCATGTGCTGGATCTCCCTTCTCTCCCCACATCAGTGTGCACCTCTGGACCACACTTAGAACTCCCCCTTCTCACGAGAGGCAAAGGACCCCATCCAAGCAGACCCTGTGTCTGATCCTGAAAATGAGACAGAGGACGGGTGGTTTGGACCAGTCTGCCAGTGTAGATCCCTGTAGAGGTAGCGAAAGAGGTTTGCGATCATGGGTCCCTGCAAGCAGACATGCCTGGCCAGCGGGTTCAGGCCCAAATCAGACACTCGGGGCTGGAACACCCCTCTTGTGTGAGTGAGGCCCTGCCAAGGCTGAGCTGGGGCTGGACCAAGCTGCGCGACCCTGTACTGGCAAAGCGGTTGGGAGACCCTGGCCCTGGAACCAGACTAGCATGACTTTTCTGTTCTCCACAGCTGTCTCCAAGGGAGAACACAGAAGTAGACCTTACAGGTTTTAGGGAATCCAGAGGCAACTGGTTCAGCCTGTCTGTTTCAGGCAGAAGGTGATCAAACACATAGGAGAGTTATCCAGCCTTGCCTTGAACTTGTATACCAGCTCTAATGGGCCAGCTCCCACAGTCAGCCACAGGCCTCCCACAGATGAGATGATGTACCCCAGAGGGGCAGTAACTGGGCTCTAGACCTCTCCGTGTGGACCTCACTGCCCCAGAGCAAAGATGAGCTGTGACGAAACCTGGCCCCTCACTGTCCTGGAGAGCCTGGCCAAGTTCTTCCAGGGTCGTCGGCGTATGGGCCCAGGGAAGGAGGTCATGTACGGTAGAGACAGGACCCCAGGGCCACTCAGGCCAGCTGGTCCCTGTCCTGTTGTCTAGGAGTCAACAGTTGACATTCTCAGCCCCATCCTCCTCACTGACAAGGCTGTCATCTGAGAGAAGAGCCTAGGAGGGTGTTGGGGGGAATGTGGTGGGACACAGTGAGGGGTCACCATCCCAGCTAGCCCCTCAACTCTGCCTTGGGTGTGCCATGCACTGATTGGTTTTCTTTTTCATGCATTTCTTTTCTTTCCTCACTTGACCAGCTCACATAGCAAAATCCTGAGAAATCGTTATTCTCTGATGCTCTAGTCCCTAACCTGTTTAGTCCTGTGACCGCTCCTTCTGTGTCATTGGTAATGCCACTCAGCCACGCAGTCCCTACCAGCAGGTCTTGTGAGGGGGCCTCTGCATTCTCAGCTGTGTCCTGTCCTCCACTCGCAGTGGTCATGAGACCCTGGCCTTTGGCTGAGCCTGCCACACAGCTCCATGTTAACATCAGAAAGGATGTTATGAACCAGATGACAGACAGCCCAATCCTCTCTGAAAAAAGGGTCAGATGACATTCTGCCAGTGGTCTTGGGAATGGGAGAGCCGGCCGACCAGCTCATCAGCTGCTAACAGGTCAACAGCGACCTCTTCAGGAACTTTGTGAACCAGTAACTCTTAGAGTCATTCATCCTTTTTTAAAAGCGAACCAACTTAGTACTTTTAAGTCAGAATTTTCAATTGACCATCCACAAGGTTCCCAAAGGCTTGTCAATCTCACGGGAGGAGATTGTCTTTTTCCCAGAGATATCAGTGTCTTTGAATTGTGTTTTCTCAGTGAATAGTATTCGATATCCCAGGGGCTGCCGGAAGAATGAATCTGTCTTGGAGAAAGTGCTGCCAGCATGCTCCTTAGAAGCAGGGATGGTGAAGCTTCATCTCACCAAGTTATAAACTTGGTCTCACTTCGAGCTTGTTATCGGGAAGGGCTAGTCTTTGCAAAAGACATTATACTGGGAAAGAAGGCTGGTGTTCAGTAAGACCCTGACTCAGACCATCAACTTGAACGTGGCAGAGGTCATGAGGATTGCACAGGATAGGGCAAAGTTCAGATCCGTCCTTCATAGACTAGCCTGACTGACCAGCACTGTTGAGTTGGAATGGACTGTTGAGTTGGTGCTGTTGAGTTGGAATGGACTCAAAAACACCCTCCAGCGGGTTTTCAGAGGCAGTAAATCGCACAGGAAGAGGTGGTCCATCTCTCTTCCACAGAGCAGCTCTTGGATCTGAACTTCATGCCTGTGTTGGATCTGCTACTCCTTATTACAAAGCCTCCAGAGCCACCAAACAGCAACATAAACCCATCAGTTATTTCATCAATGTGTTGAACCTGCAGAGGTGGCGAAGAGGGCAGGGGTTGATTTGGGCGTGTCTTTTGTGTCCTTTTCATCAGGTTTATGTTATACCTGTTTTGTAGGGCTCGTCCCCCCACTGGTCACAGTTACGGTGATAACTTGCCAGTTTTCTTCACTGTACACAGGACTCTTTCCCCTTGATACGTAGTACAATGTGTGAGATGCTGTGGACTGTATTTTTTTAAATATATTTATTTTTCATTTCAATGGACATCTACAGAGATTTTGGAATTCCATTCATTCATTGTTGCACCCTTATCCCCCAACCACACCCCTAACCCCAAATATAATCCACTCTGCAATCAGCTTTCGTCTAATTGGCAGCTGTTGATGACTCTTGCTTAGACTCATTGTACTGGGGTGATTTTCCCAGTTTAGTAATTGTTTCAAGCTTGCTTCTCATTTATGAGAGGGAAGCACTTCGCGTCGTCCTCCTTTTGTGCTTCTTTTTAGTGTTCTTCTGGACTCATGGGTTCTTTTGTACGAAATCTACATGCCAGAAAGGGAACTCTGGTAGCCCAATGGCTAAGAATCTGTACTGCCAACTCCAAGGCACGTGGTTCATATCCACCAGCTGCACCACAGCAGAAAGATGAGCGTTCTTCTCTTGTCTGGTTTACTGCCTCTGAAAATCCACTGCAGTGTCAGCTAAGAGTCAGTTCCAACTTGATGGTACAACTTGGTTATACTAAGAGATTGTAGTAATTCTCACGTAGACATGGACCCTAATTTCACTGGTGAGAGTTCACCTCCCAATCTAATGCATATGTTTTAAAAATAACATTTCTTGAGGTGTGATTAAATTACTATAAAGTTCATCCTTTAAAAAATGTGCTATTCAGGCGAGCTCTGGTGGTCTAGTGGCAGGAAACTACTGCAATCCCAGAGGTGCGCGGTTCAAATCCACTGGATGCTCTGCTGAAGAAGGAGGAACAATCGCCTCCTGTACCAGTCAGATCCAATTTGACGGTACACACATTTTAAAAAAATGTGCTATTCAGTATTGTTTGTATTTCACAAAGCTGGTTCTCAACCGAGCTTTTGTGTAGACAATCTCATTTCTCTGGAGTAAAGTAGAATTCACCCAGGAATGCTATTGACACTATTTTTTATTTTATTAATTTTAATGAACGTTTACAGAGATTTTGGATTTCCATTCATTGTTGCATTTTTCTTCCAGCCCACCACCCCTCCCCCACCAATTTATTGTCACTATTTTGGGGGGTTTTTTCAGTCTTAGCTCCTCTGCTAGGTGTGTAAGGCGTTCTGGTGGTGCCATGTTTAATACATTTAAGCTATTAAGCAAATGATTGGCTGGTTGAAACCACCAGCTGTTTGCAGGAGAAAGATGAGGCTTTGCATTGAGTTTGCTTCTGTAAAGATTTATAACCTCACCCTGGCAACAACAGCAAAGTTCACTAAGATGGCAAGCAATAAATGCTGGCGAAGGTGTGGAGAGATTGGAACGCTTACGCAAACAATCAATGCTGCAAAGGTGTGGAGAGATTGGAACTCTCACACACTGCTGGTGCGACTATAAAATAGTGTAACCTCTAATGGAAAGCACTCTGTTTCCTTCAGAAATTTGGAATAGAAATGTCATTTGATCCCTCAATCTCACTGTTAGGTATATGTCCTAAAGAAGAACTACAGCGTGAGCGGATACATTCACAGCAGTGTATGTACAATAGCAAAGAGATGGCAACAACCCAAGTGTCCAGCAGTGCATGAATGGGCCAAGAAACTGTGGTCATGCAAAACAAATGGAATATTATGAATCACTATAAGAAGAGCAGTGATTCATTAAACACAAGATGAGGGAGGGGCTAAAAATACATAATTAACAACATAGGTGAATCTAGAAATTCTGCGGAGTGACAGAATCAGTCACAAAAGGACAATTTTGGTATAAGAATATTATAAAAAGCAAAGGAAAAGTTTACATAATGAGTCCTTCTGTGATGGTTACCAGGGATGGCAACGAAGGAAGAGGTGAGTGAAAATAGATTAGCTGGGTGAGGGGAAAGCCAACACACAGTAAGTGGTTGAGTTGATATTTTTTAAATTTTTTTTTTTTAGTTTTTTGTGTGTGTACCATCAAATTGGATCTGATTGGTACTGGAGGAGATTGCCTCTCCTTCTCCAGCAGAACATCTGGTGATTTGAACCCCGTACCTCTGGTATTGCAGTGTGAGCTGACATTGACAATTAATTGCAATTAATGTTACAAAATAGATGTTAGGTGTCATCAAGTATGATTATAATTCATAGTAAATGCCCTGATAAACAGATTTGAACCTTACCCTGTTCAATCAGTGCCATCCGCATCATCTCTGATATACTTGAGTCCAATGTTCTAATCACTGTCAGTCCATCTCTTTGAGTATCTTCCTCTAACTTTCTTTTTTGGTCCTCCTTGACAGTAGGTGATCCTTGCCTCCAAAGAACACACTATTTTCATTTCCCCAACACATTTGTGTGTGTGTGTGTGTACCATCAAATCGGATCTGACTGGTACAGGAGGAGATTGTCCCTCCTTTTCCCGGCAGAGCATCTGGTGGATTTGAACCGTGCGCGTCTGGGATTGCAGTGCAGCTTCTTGCCACTAGGCCACCAGAGCTCAGCTTCCCCAACACATTTTTGTTCTAATTTCCAAAATTTATTCTTTGTTTAACATTCTCCCCTCCTTCTCTCCCTCTCCCACAACCCACTCCGCAATGCACCCCTTGTTCCAGATTGTTCTCATACATATACTGCATAGGCATATATTCCTTTGGACAGTTTTCCCCTCATCTGTTCTAATGCAGTGTTCATTATCTGTCCACACCCCATTCCCTCCCTAACACTCCATGTCTGTCCTATATTTTATAAGACATGTATGTTCTTTTGGCATGCCATTAGATAGTATTCCAACACTACAAGTCAATGGCATTGATTGATTTTCTGTCACCCTTCTTCATTGTCCATTTTCCAGAACATAGAATGCAATGAAAGCATTAATGACTTGCATTAGGCACACCTTAGCGAGAGGTACTTGACAGCAGATTTCCTCAGTTCAACACATCTCACGATTTCTTGACTGTTGCTACTATTGATTGTATATCCAAGTAAAAATCGCTTACAATTTCAATCTTTTCTCTATTAGAACTTTTGCCTATTGATAAAGTGGTGATGATTTTTGTTTGAATAAATGGAGAGCCAATATAGCTTGTAAAGATTCATTCAAATAAAAATAAGTAAATCGGAAAAAATCTTTCGTCAGTATTTTAATGTAGTAACACTGACCCTATGGAAATAAAAATAAAAACCCAAAAACCCTTAGAACTATATGATTCTTCTCGCCCTTTGCTTAAGGCCCATGAGCCACGCCCACTACGGGGCGAGCCGTTCGAGAACACGCCCACAACATGACAGGACAGGCGGGGCGGGGGCGGGGACTGGGCAATTAGGCCACGCCACTTCCGCCGGAAGCTCGTGTCAGTCTTTCCTTCTGTATCGCTTCCGACAGTTCTGTAAACCGAATTTCTCCAAGGAAAAGGGCCACATCCTCGGATTAATTTTCTAGCTCTTTCTTTTGGACAGACCTGAGCGGACCCAGCCCCGACCCTGAGGCCAGAGCGGCTTCATCCTGACTGGCAGACGGACGAGGACATTCTCGCTTCCGGAACGGAGAGTGCACGCCTCTCCTGTTCCCGGGAGCCGGCGGCAGTCGCACCGTCGCGCCCCGCCCCTCGTCCCGCCACGTCTCTGCCGGAGTCGTGGGTCCCCGGCCGCCTCTGCGGAACCGCAGCGCAGGGTGAGGGTCGCGGCCGAGACACTGGGGTCTCCAGGGCCAGGGCTGTGGCCGGGCGGTGGCAAGGCTCAGCAGGGCGGGGACGTCTGCCCTCTGTGGCGGCGCGAGGGTCGTTGAGTGAAGGCTCCTCACTGGCCGTGTCTGCAGGGCCTGGAGCCGCACTCTGCTGGCCCCGGAGCTGGCCTGCACCCTGATGGGATGCGGCTTGCTTATTTAAGAGCAGGGCTCCCGCCTTGCGACTCCTTCACAGCCCCCGCGCAATGCTGTTGCTACGTCTTGTGCTTTTGCAAAAATTGTAATGATTTAACGAGAATCGTGACTCGGTAATCAGTCTGAGCTGGTTTTAAAAGTTTGTGCGTTTCCTTGTTTGCCTGTCTCCCCGGAAAATGACTCGTCCTGACCCTGGGTGCCTGCTGTGTGACAGACAGGCCGTGGACACTGTCCGTGCTGTGGTGGAGGTAGTCACGTGTCACGTCCCTGCCTTGTCGAAACCACCAATGAGGGTCTTAGTAAATAAGTGATTGGTGACTGTGGCCGGGCCAGCTGCATGGGAAGGCGTGAGGGTGACTTGAGTCAGTGCTGCTATGATGAGAATCTAGTTTTGCAAAATTGTGGGGGATGAACAGGAAGTGTGAAGACCTCTAAAGAGGAGTGTGGTGTAGGTGGGGACGTTCTCAGGGCGTGGTGGGAAGTGAGAAGGGCATAGAGCACAGGATTCAGGGCCACCTGGTTTGCAGCGTTGTTGTTTATGGGAAGAGGTTTGGATTTTATTGTCAGTGTATGTGACAGCCACGAGAACATCGTAAACCATTTACAATGACCCAAGGAATTTTCATTTGCCCTTTTAGTGTTTATACTTAACCCTTTACTGGACAGTAGTTGTTACAACGTAAATGCCAAGAAAGGAAATAAAATACTTAATTTTGTTGTCTGACATTGTTTACGTTCAGAAATAGCGTTTTTCTTTGCCTCTTGCTTGAAGAAGTACAAGCCATCTCCAGGTGTTGAACTTCCAGCTTAGGAGCCTGAGGTCTTCTGTCAGTTTGCCTTCACTTTGAAATGATTGAACCAGCTTCTTCGTCATAGTCACCTGCTAGAGCTGCATCTGCAGTCACTGTAATGTCTTCTTGACACTTCGCCACCTTCAGCCCCCAATGGACAGTGCGTACTGCCTGGCACACAGGTCTGACAGCTGTGTGTATTTTCCCAACTGCCCCATAACACATTTGTCAAGGTGGAAAATCTTTACAGGCGGAAGCTTCCCATCTTTTTCCCCAGGGTCGGCTAGTAGACTTGACCTACTGACATTTTGATTAGCACTTGATCTGATATGCACTGCAGCACCAGGACTCATTTTTTTTTCTTGTATTCTAGGAAGACTGAGTATGAGGCTCCCACTTAGCCTTTAATTTCCACTTATAGGCACAGGTCTCACTTGTAATTCAGGAACTCTATAGTGAGAATATTTTCAGGTCACCTTTACTTATCAATTCATTCAGTCAACAATTGAAGGGAAATAATAATAATTACTATCTCCATACCTTTTCAACCTGTATGCAGAACAGATTATCTGGGAGGTTGGGCTCTGTGAGGAGAAATGTGGGGTCAAGAGTGGTGGACGATCTGTCAATAATCTGTGTTATGCGGATGACACAACCCTGCTTCCTGAAACTGAGGAGGACCTGAAGCACCTGCTACAGAAGTTCAAGGACTGCAGCCTCCAATATGGATTGAGGCTCAATGTCAAGAAGACAAAGATTCTCACCACTGGACCAATTGGCAACATCAGGATGTAGAGATTGAGATTGTTCACAGCTTTAGTCTGCTTGGCTCCACAGCCAACACTCTCGGCACCAGTAGCCAGGAAATTAAAAGACGTATTGCCTTGGGAAAGTCTGCTGTTAGGGACCTCTCCAAAGTACTGAAGAACAATGGTGTCTCTCTGGACACTTAAGGTGTGTCTGATACAGGCCATGGTCTTTGCAGTCACTTGTTATGCATCAGAGAGTTGGACCAATGACCAAGGAGGATAGAAGGAGAATTGATGCCTTTGAGCTGTGGTGCTGGAGAAGAGTATTGAGAGTACCATGGACTGCTAGGAAAACAAACAGATCCATCCTGGAAAGGGTTAAACTGGGTGGCTTCTTGGAGGCAAGGATTCTGAGGCTCCGTCTAACATACTGTGGGCATGTTGTAAGGAGAGACCGGTCCTTGGAGAAGGACATCATGCTTGGGAGGGTGGAGAGACAGCGCAAGAGAGGAAGGCCCTCTATGAGGTGGATTGATTCAGTAAGTGGGATAATCGGGGTGGGAGTGTCAGAGACAGTGCGATTGGCACAGGACAGAGCAGAGTTTAGGGCTGTTGTACATAGGGTCGCTATGAGTCGCAAGCGACTTGACGGCACATAACAACAACAACAATAATAATAATTGCTACCATTTGTCAAGGACACAAGTCAGCCTGTGCCTATTGCATTTGTTCCTGGCAATACTTTTGCGCTAATTTCCCCCTCTAATTCTCTGATAAAGAAACAGGCTTAGTTAAAGATTCTACTCAAGAACTTACGTCTAAAAAAAAAACAAAAACAACTAACTTACGTCTAAGTGGTGGAGGGACCTATGCCTGAAACAGAAAGTCCAATAGCAGGGCCTGCCCTGGACACTACCGTACAGTGGAACCAGGAAAAATGTCATCATATTTTTGTATACAAAGTAAAAGCCAAAAATATGACACTGTCACTTGCTCTTTGTTTACTTGTGGTTAGTAGTTTTGGGCCTCAGACAGACCTCCTTTGTGAAAGAATTCCGTTTTCCTCTTGGCTGGTCTCTGCTGTGTCTGATTGCCATTAAGGACAACTCAGCTACGACATAGTGGGGGACATGGAGCTGTCCAAGCAGGATTTGCCAAGAAAGAGGTGTGGTTGACGTCCTGAAGGTGCCTGAGGCGTGAAGGTGCCTGAGGCGTGGTTCTCAAGCGGGCAGGTTGGAATAGGGCAGCTGGGACCAAGAGACACATTCCTCTCCTGTTTCACTGGGCTGCTTGGGGGAGTTTGTTCTGTCTAGGGTGGTGTTAGTGTGGGCGCTGTCGCCGACGTCTCTGTGACACGGTCTCCTCAGCTGCCCAGCCTTCCGCCTACCTCTCTGGTTGGCATGCTGTCTTCGGTGCATAAATAAATCCATCTAGTCCTGTTAGCTCTTCCGCTCTTCCTCCTCACTTAGGTGACAGCTGCTTTTCTGGTTACAACTCCAGGGTGTTCTTGTTCACCCTTTGGAACTGTGGCTCCAAAATGTGTGTGTGTGTGTGTGTGTGTGTGTGTGTACACGAATGTGTGCAAGTGCACGCACATGTGTACGTGTTTGGAAATACACATAAACAAAACATGTCATCTCTACAATTTCTACACATACAATACCATGACCCTGGTTACGTTCTTCAAGTTGTACACCTCTCTGCCCTGTTAGAAATTATGGAGAGCTCTGGTGGTGCAGTCCTTAGGCAGTTGCACCTGTGACCCAGAGGCCAGGCCTCTCTGGTGGTTCAGATCCACCAGCTCAGAACGACTGCACTGCCACGTACGGCCTCAGAACCCAGAGAGGGGTCCATTAGGAATTGATTCCGACTGGCTAGAAATGAGAGTGTGTGTCCAAGATAGCATTAAACCCCCATTAGCATGAAGTCCGTGTCCTCCATGCACATATATCCCCTTTTCACTTCCCTCACTGATAATCTTTGGGTGCCTCTGTATTTCCTTTATCCCCCTTTTCCATCTCTTCCTTGGTAACCACTGGTACTCTTTGGTGTCTCTGTATTTGCTGATTTCTCTCGAGTGAGATCATCTGGAATTTTCCCTTTTGTGATTCACAAGTTCATCTTTGACTCACTGTTCATTTTGTCAGGTCTGGCCTCAGGACGTTGTTTCTCCTCCTGGCTCAGTGTGTCTGCACTGGGTAAACATTTTCAGGAAGTGTGTCTCCTGTTTGATAGTTTGTACCTGGAGTGCGCCATGACCTTGCTTGCGCTCCACACATTATCTCAGCACTCTCCCAGTTTCTGCCCTGGGTTCCTCTTTTCCTTTCATCCACATTTTCACTGTTTCCTGCCATCTTTACCTTGCTTTTGAGCCCTTGTTACTGTTTCGATCTAAAGTGGTATTGTTTTATTTTATGGGTCTCAGGCTGAGGGCCGTTTCCATTCGAGGCCACAGCTTTGGGATCCCCCCCCCCAGACTCTTTTAGGCCAATGTGGATGCTGTTGTGAATTTGATTTCTATCTTCATTTTCTCCTGTCCTGCCCCTTCTAGCCACTCTCTGTCGTGTTCTAGCCACTTTCTGTCATGTCGTCATAGATGCCTGGCACCAGGCACATTTTATCCATTCATCTGTGGCCAGATGTCCAGTTGTGTCCGCATCTTGGCTGCTGTGAGAAGCACTGCAGTGAACACTGGCAAGCCAGTTTCTGTTTGTGTTGCTGCCTTCGCTTCTGCCTGATTACAGAGAATTGGGCTTGTTCAGTCACAGGCTCGTCTTACGTTGAGCTTGCTGAGGAAACGTCATGCTTGTCTCTGCATCTGTACCATTTAGGAGGATGTCTATGAGTGTGTCTCCTCCACACCCACGGGACTTCCTTAGAAGCAGAGTGGTCGGCTTCACAACCTCACCAATCTCACTACTCGTTTTTTGTTTTCAAGATCATTGCCAATCTGTTGGTGGTGAGGCGGGAGCACGTTTAGCTTTGATCTGTATTTTCTTTTTCTTTTTAAGTTTTACATTATTATTCAGTGTAAATTCCAACACGATACACTGATGTGATTTCATGCATTTAGGAAGAAACATATCCTTGTTATGTGGGAAATTGTGCAGATGGTTTCTGGAAGACCTTCATTCTAAGCGGCTTTTTAAAAAAGAATTTCATTTAGAAGTCAGGGTCTTCTTTCTTCAGTTTGCTGTAATCCACATTCGCTGAGTAGACCCTGTATTGTTCATTGGGGCCTGGTTTGTTCCATGGTTCTGGTTTATTCTTTCTGTCACAAGAGACATCTGGATTAAGTAATGCCAGACGCGTGACATACAGTGCTGCTCCAGTACCTCCAGCTCCAGTGAACACAGAGAGGTATCAAGCTTGGTGCTTCTTGGCTTCACCGAGGATCTGGCGGAGCATGTTTGCTTCAGAGCCCTCCTGTGCGGAAGGAGAGGATGTGTCAAATTGACAGGCCTTGGAAAGAGCCTCTGATCTCTAATTTTCTTCATGGCTAATGAGGGAACTCTAGTGACCTAGTTGGCAGGGAATTGCACTGTTAACCCAAAGGTGACACCTTTGTGGACTTTGCCATTCAAAGCCACCAGCTGCTTGACAGGAGAAAGATGGGCGGTCTCATGCAGTGTGGTGAATAGCCTCTGGAAACCGGCCGAAGGGTCATCTCGGAATCAATTCCCACTTGGCAGTGAGCTGAGCTGGCTACTGAAGGTGCTGTGGTTGTATAGTCCTTTACCTTTGGGGGCTGGTAACTGAAAGGTCAGCAATTCTAATCCACCAGCTACTCAGTGGCAGCTAGACGGGCAGTGTCCTCCAGTAAAGGTTTTCGGCCCCAGCACCTTGACAGAGGGTCATCATGATTGGAGTTGACCCATGACTTCGGTTCGAGGACTCTTGATGCTGAGCTGAGCGTTTTTTTTCATGTGCTTTCTGGCCTTTTGAATGTCCCCAGTGATGAAATTTCTATTTCCTTGGAAAAGGGCATCATGCTTGGAAAGGTCAAGGTTCAGCAAAGGAGAGGAAGACCCTCGAAGAGATGGATTGATGGAGTATCTGTGGCCTTGGACTCAGATATGTCGAGGATGATGAGGATGGCACAGGAGAGGAGAGAGTTCGGGTCTGTTGTTCATGGGGTCACTATGAGTTGTAGTTGACTTGATGACACTTAACAACAACAAATAATAAAGAAGCTCTGCTGGCCCAGTAGTAAGAAGCTGCACTGCAGTCCCAAAGACACACAGTTCAAATCCACCCAGTGCTCTGCAGGAGGATGAGCAGTCTCAACTCATGTGATTTACTGCTTCCAAAAACCCACTGGAGGGTCAGCTGTGGGTTTGGTTCCAACTCATTGACACAGTCACAGCAACAGTGGTGAAGATACCTACCCAAGGCCCCTGCCCATGCTTTGATTATGGTGCTTTTTGTCGTTTTGTTGTTTGATCGGAACTGTTAGAGCTTAATATATTTGAAAAGGCAGTGCTGATGCTCAGCGTTCACCACTTTTGTCATCTTGCTTTGAACCTTCATTTTGGTTTCTGGGGTGGGACTAGGGTGGGGAACACTGAGGCTGGGGAGTGCCCCAGAGCTAGAGGTGAGCATGGAGTGACCCTTCTGCATCTAGGAGCCTGTGTGTGTGTGTAGGAGACACACTGACCGATGTGCACGTGTATTCACATGCAGACACTGGCATATGTGCCCCGAGTGCACAGTCACACTCACACACGGGCACACACACAGTAGCAGTATGTGCAGAAGGGAGTGGACTCGCCCTTTTCCTGAGAGGCCAGGAGAGAGACTTGATGGCAACAGCTCCCAGTGGTGGTCAGGGAAGGAAGCCCCTCAGCAGCGCCAGCTTCACCCAGTGGGTGGCCAGACGATCATGAGCCAGCGAGACTCAGAGAAGAGAAATGGTCCCCTGCTGGCCACTTCCTCCCGTTAGCCACCCCTCTGGTGTGCTCAGCCCCGTGCTCCCCACAGACACTTGACACCTTCTTTCCAGTCCATTGTCTAATGCCGACAGAGACATTTATAACGTATTTGATCCCTTTCTCTCGCACCAGGTGTGATGGCATAGTTGGCTGGACTTGAGGCTGCTGGGGACTTGAGAGCTGCTGCGGGTCCTGGGATGTGAGCTTTCCGCTGCTCTGATGGGGAGGAGCTGGCCCTGAGCCGTCCCCTGGCACCCTGTGTCACTCACCACAATGGACGGTGTGTCTGCCGGACACCATGCCCTCCTGGAGTCCAGTGGCAGCACCTCAGTGGATCCCGGGACCTGCCCGGAGCCCCCTGATGGGCAAGACTCAGCCTGGGGTAAGTCCTGAGTGCCCTGTGCTGTTGGAGGCTGGACAGTGATGTCCTGGAGGCCTGAGGGTCAGGGCCCCATGGGAAGTCCTCATCCACATGAGCCTTTCAGTCGTCCCCGGAGTGTGACTTCTTGTTCGATGATCACTTTGAACCCACCACTCTTCTGTATCAGATGGGGGGGGTGCATGGTACTGGGCCCAGAACAAGGAATCCCAAGACGAATGTGGATACAGGGTGGGGGTGACCACAGGACGGATCTGGATGCAGGGTGGGGAGTGACCACAGGACGGATCTGGACATGGGATGGCAGGGTGACCACATGGCAGATCTGGACACAGGGTGGGGGGTGACCACAGGACGGATCTGGACATGGGATGGCAGGGCGACCACATGGCAGATCTGGGCACAGGGTGGAGAGTGACCACATGATGGATCTGGATGCAGGGTGGGGGGTGACCACAGGACGGATCTGGACATGGGATGGCAGGGTGACCACATGGCAGATCTGGACACAGGGTGGGGGGTGACCACAGGATGGATCTGGATGCAGGGTCGGGGGTGACCACAGGACGGATCTGGACACAGGATGAGGAGTAATCACATTGCAGATAGGGACATGGGGTGAGGATTGACCACGTACGTGGCAGATCTGGACATGAGGTTGGGGATGACCACGTGGCAGATCTGGATGGGGGAGGGATGTAGAGAGGGCTTTTGCGGAGATTCTGCACAGAGGGTGGGGTATGACCTCCCCATATACCATTCTGGCCCTCCCTACTACACTGCTGTGACCCTCCCCACACACCTCCATGGTTCTCCCCCCCTAAATACCACCGTGGTCCTCTGCCCACACCTCATACTCCCTGCCAGGCCCAGCGGTCCTCCCTGCACATTGCCATGATCCACTGTCCACACTACTGTGGCCCACACACACCTCGTAGTCCTCTCACATACCATTATAGCCTTTCCCCATATACCTCATGGTCTTCCCCTGTGGACCTCGTGGTCTTCCCTCATATCTCATGGTCCTCCCTGCACACCCTGTGATTCTACTATACCTTGTGGTCCTTCCTTCATATCTTACGGTCCTCCTTCCCCGACCGTGTGGTCCTCCCCCTACGCCGTGTGGTACACACATGCAAGCATGCACACCTGCGCTCACACACACACACGCGCGCGTGCACACACACGTAGTCCTTCCCCCCACCTCACCGTAGTCCTTCCCCCCACCTCACCATAGTCCTCCCCTTCCGCATGGTTCTTCCACACACAGCTGATGGTCCTCCCCCCACCTCCTTCGGTCCTCCCCCGCATCTCATGGTCCTGTCCTCATCTCGTAATCTCTCCCTCACACCTTGTGACCCTCCCCCTACACCTTATGGTCTTCCTGGACATATCATGGTCTCCCCTCCATCCTGTGGCACACCCCTCGTGCCATGTGGTCCTTCCCCACATCACGTGGTCCTCCTCTCTCGCCTCACGATACTCCCCTCATTTCTCAGTCTTCCCCCATCACCTCATGGTCCTCCTTTCACATCTATAATCCTCCTGCTCCCCGTGATCCTCCTCCCTCCCCGCACCTTGTGGTCTTCTCCTCATACTTCATATCTTATAGTTTCCCTCCACCCTGTGAGCCTCCTCTCATATTCCATAGTCTTTCCCCCCATAGCCCTCGCCCGAATCTTGTGATTCTTCCTTCATAACCTATAGTGCTCCCCCTACCTCATGGTCCTCCTTTCACATCTCATGATCCTCCCCCACATAATACTCTGGGCCTCCTCTCATGTCTCGTAATATTCTTCTGTACTCGCTGGTCCTCCCCCGACACCTCATAGTCCTCCCCTTATATCCTGTAGTCTTCCAGTCTTCCTCCCTGCACTCCTCATAGTCCTCCCACACCCTCCCATGACCACCCCTCCCATGATCCTTCCCCTACGCACCATGCACCATTGTTTTCTCTCTCTGAACCCCGCATCATGCCCCCTCTCCCCCACCCCGTGGTCCTCAGGTGCTCTTCCACCAGAGTCTTTGAGGCTCAGAAGTGAGGAGGCGGCGAAGACTAAAAATATTTATAACAAATCTTTCTTGCTATTTCTGTCTGATGAGAAGTGTGCTTTGGAGTAGTAATTCCGTTCGTGGTACTGTTAGTGGGCGGACTTGAGTTTAATATTGGACACCACGCGTTACTGGTTTCTCTGGGGCCATGGCTGGGGGGTGAGGCAGGCCTGTGTGTGTCTGCACGCAGCTGACACTCTGGGCCTGAGGCACTGCAGCCTGTGTCAACCGGAAAGGCGTCCTCTGCCCCTGCATCTCACTTCCCTTTCATGTCTATATTAAACAGGCTCTCGTGAGGTTTTGCACCGATATATTATAAATGACAAGGGGACCTTAATGTCAGAAGGCGCGTCGTGGGTGACTTGTCCCATCAGCTGCCTCGGGAAGAGCCAGGCTGCACTTCTGTGCAGTGAGCACGTCTGGGAGGTGGGGGTCTGCCGGAGGTCCCCCAGACGCTCGTGTTTGTCCTCCCGCAGCTGTGCGTCGCAGGAGCTGCGTGTGACCACGTGTCAGTGTGGTGTGGTTGTGGGAGCTGTTGCCCCAGAGCTGTTCTGTCTTGCAGGTTCCAGCAAGAACACAGACACAGCTCCGGGTGAAGAAGGCCTGGATGTGGCCAGCCAGGGGCTCAGCTGCCCCAGCGGGCCTGAGACAGCTCCGCCAGGCCCTGCGCTGCCTCTCGACCCCACCTCTCACCCAAGGGGTGCGGACACGGCTCCAGGTGTGACCGGTTTCCATGACAACCTAAGGAAGGCTGAGGGCAGTAGTGCTGAGGGCGGTATTAGAAAAGAAGCTTTGCAGTCTCTCAGACTCAGTCTTCCTATGCAAGAAACGCAACTGTGTAAGCATCATCTGTCTCCCGTCCTCCCCACCCTGCTCATGTTGTCCTCGCACCTCAGCCTCCTGGAGGCAGACGGGCACACATGTCTCTGTCCTTGGCTCTGGGGTCACATGGTGGGCGTGTGTCTGACAGCATGACACCGTTGTAGTCAATGATGGGGTGCCTCCCCACTGTGATCACCATGCGACAGTCTGCAGGAAGAGAAAGGTCGGCTGAAAAAGAGTGACATTGCTCTGAGCGCCCACGTCACAGCCCGCCATAACCTGCAGTGACCATGCGCTGACCCCGGGGTTTCCAACATGAAAGGCTGCAGGCTGGCCTGCGCTGGAAGCCTGTGGACCTTTCTGACCCCGGTGTTTTGGCCTTCTCAGACCTCACGCCTGGTTCTGGTCACTGTTTTAAATGGGCTATGTCGTTGACTCTGGTGTGTTTTCTCACTCAGCATTGCTATGTGGAAGCCCTCCCTTCACGCCGAAGTCTGTGTGCTGTGTTCTGTGCAGCCGGCCTCCCGCTCTGAGCTCCTGGCTGGTGACCAGCACTGCAGTGACCCCATAGGGCCGTGTCCCGTGAGTCCCAGTGCTCCCTGCTGGGCTCCCAGTGGCGGGTGGCTGTCAGGACCACATGACTGCCCTGCTGCGATGTCCAGTGCTGGGCTGGGCCCCCAGGTCCCTTCTGTCGGGTGGCCACCAGGCTGACAGCACACTGTGGTGTTCCATTGCCACTTGAGTTTGCACGTTTCCACCAGTGAATTTGAATATCTTCTTATCTTTGACCATTCAGATGTTCTCTGTGAACTGTCTCTCCGTGTCTTTCGGCTGTTTTGTCCTTTCTTTGTACACATTATTTTATTAGAACTGCAGCATAGTATAGAAATTTCCTGGAAACCTGTTGCCTACATTTTTGTCAAGAGGTTTCATAGCAGAGTCTGGATTCCTTGTCTTAGTGTTGTAGGAGCCCTGGCCTCGGGTCCCACGTAGCCCCCATTTATTCTAAGACTTTCATCTCTATGCAGTCCTGGGCCACTCGCAGGCCTTGAGTACCATATAGCAGTGGTCTGCTGCTAACGGCAGCCCCTCTGGCTGGCCAGCTCCTTGCTGTTGCTCCATCTGTCCTGGGTCGCTCGCTGCAAGCATGCAGTCCTGTCTGGTTTAAACCCAGCCTGCCCTTCTCACTGATGCCATGTGCCTGAGACCTGCTGGCCCTAGGTGTCCGTCCTGATAGAACCTGTGCAGTTGGCCGACTCAGACGTGCAGGTCTTTTCAGAGACAACATAATTCACAAGTTCTTAATGATGTCGGTGACTGTCTGGATGTGGGAACGACCCAAGGCAGGTTCCGTTCATTTCCTGAGATCATGTGTGGATGGCAGCAGAGGTGGGTGAGCTCCTAGGTGACCATAGGTTTCTCCAGGCCCTGAAGGCAAATGCAGCTTCCTGTAACTCGAAAGCCTTTGCACTTCTTGGTTTGACCCTCTTGGAGCCAAAGATAACCACCGTGGGAATGTGCACCATTCATTCTGTTCTCAGCTGGGCATTAGTGTTCCCATCCTACCCTGGCTGCAACCCTGGCCTGGGTCGTGGCTGACCACAGCTGTGGCTTGCAGGCCGCTGCAGCCCGTGCCCTGTCAAGTCCTTGGTTGCCCATGTGGAGCCAGGCTCTCCAGCAATGTGATGGTTATAGCAGCGGGCTGTGGTTCTGCGGCTGCTATTGCAGGGAATTGGATCAACCAGATCCCACGATTCCCCAGCCTGTAGCTGCCAGGTAATGGTGTGAGGTGCCACCTGCCCCTCGCTGGCATTGACCTGGTTCCCATCACCAAATGCCGCTGCACCGTGGCTGGGTGTGCACATTCCTCTCAGGTCAGCTGTGAGTGCTCAGAGTTGGGGCGGTAAGGTGAGGCGCGGCGGCCTGATTCGTCGTGGGGGGAGCTGTCCATGGGTCAGACCGCACAGCCCTTTCACCATGAGAGGGCACACTTTGGGCATCTTTCATTAGACAAGCTGGGCTCCTGTGAGGGGTGCTGTGCTTGGATGGGTGCAGGCTAACCCCGTTCTTCAGGCCCTTAGAAGACAGGACCCATCTGTGTCGTGTGAGAGGCGTGACCTCCCCTCTGACCCTCAGAAGCAGTGGTTTAGCAGCGAAATGCAAAGGGGTCAGACATTGCTGCTCACGTGCTGGTGCCCTGGCTCCTGGATTTTAAATGACTTTCCATGCACAGGCTCAACTGAGGCCTCACTGCCCCTGGAGAAGGAGGAGCAGGTTCGCCTTCAAGCACAGAAACGGCTGGAGGAGCAGCTTCAACAGTACAGGGCGAAGAGGCAGGAGGAGAGGGTGAGTGAGGCAGGGAGGCTGAGCTCTGTGTGGCCCACGTGCTCTGTGCTGGGCTCGACAGGACAGGCCTACCTGCTGCCTGCTTCTTTACACGTCCAAGGCAGTTCTAAGGTAGCCACTTTAGTGTGCTTATTATATGTATTTATTACTATATGTATTCTTTTACATTCATGTGAAAGAGTAAGCTCTGGAGAAAAGTATAGAGAGAAGGTGTGAGGAAGGTGGGTTTTAGGGTGACACAGCCCCCTGGTGGGAAGTGTGTGTCAGGCAGGGCAGGTCTCTGGGCAGCTCTGTGGCAGGTGACACTGGTGCAGAGACGAGGCCGGCCCTGGGGTGAGTGGCAGGAATAGAGACAGCCGTCTGGGAGTCACAGTGTTGGAACACTACCTGTCTGTCTGAAATTGACTCCTGCACTTTTGTCTCCTTGCCAGTCCGGCCATCCAGTAGTGAAAACGAGACTTTCCAGCACCCTGGACCCTGAGCTCATGCTTAACCCCGAACAGCTGCCGCGGGCCAGCACCGTGGCCCTGACCAAGGAGTACTCCTTCCTGCGCACCAGCGTGCCTCGCGGGCCCAAGGTGGGCAGCTTAGGACTCCTGACACGTTCCTCGGAGAAGAAAAGCCCCAAATCCGGCAGGATTCGGTCTCTGGCTGATTACAGGACTGAAAATAAGGATGGTGCGGACTTGAGTGGAGGTGGTCCAGCCACCAGCCCCTCGCAGGGTTCTGTGAGCAGGGGCAGCGTGACGTCCGTGTTGTCCGAGGCCAGCCTGCCGCTGGATGCTGACGCCTGCCCAGAAGACGCCTCACTGGCCGGAGATGACACCTCCGAGGTGGATGGCAGTGAGGCCGGGCTGAGGCTGGACGGGAATGACAGTGACAGCTCCTCGTACAGCAGTGTTTCCGCCCGGGGCGTGCTGGGCGCACTGGTCAGCACCCAGGACTCGGCCTACATGGTCAACAGCCAGGAGATGGCTGCTGACACCCTGGACCAGTTTCCTTCGATTAAGGATGTCCTCCAGGCTGCGGCAGCTGAGCATCAGGGCCAGGGGCTGGGGGTCAACGGGGACATCCGGAGCCGCCGAGGCAGCCTGGCCAGCAGGTAGGTTTGGATGCAGTGCCTGGGGACTGGCAGCAGAGGCCTCACTGCATTCTCTCCTCAAGCCCCTTCCTGTCAAGGCAGCTTGGCTCTTCGCTGTCGCCGTTGCTGCACTCAGTGTTTCTTTGCTGCTCTGTTGGGGTCATGCCTTTCATAGACGTTTCTGTAAAGTCACAGATTCTTAAGTGAGTCAAGGTTTGTGAGCGTGTCTTGGCCTCAAGGGGGCCTCAGGGCCCAAGTCTTGGCAGGCTTTGCTGCTGCTTCAGTGCTTGCTGGAGCCTCTGCTTGAATCCTGTGCTTGCTTCTCTGAAGCACAGCCCCAGAAGGCCAGGGCGGTGGGTGGGTGTCGGGGCAGGGGAACGAGTCATTCACGCTTCGTCCCCTGACCGCGTGTTTGTCCCCAGTGTGTCCATGGAGAGCTCCGTCGCTGAGGCCCAGGACGAGATGCTACAGGTCCTCAAGGAGAAGATGCGACTGGAGGGGCAGCTGGAGGCCCTGACACTGGAGGCCAGCCAGGTAGAATGCTGACCGCTGTCCCAGAGCCTCAGTGCATGAGGATGGCGATGGTGTATAGGTCTTTTTACGAACACTGGCGTTTCAGTTACCATCCTTACACCTGGGTGGCTTTAACAAGCAGAAATTTCTTTTCTTGCAGTTTTGTTGTTAGGTGCCACCAGCTTGACTGTGACTCATAGTGACCTTCTGAACAATAGATCTGAACCCTGTCCTGCGCCATCCTCACAATCTCGGACGTACTCAGGCCCATTGCCACAGCCACTGTCAGTTCACCTGCTTGAGGATTTCCTCTCCTTCGGTGTCTCTCCACCCTCCCAAGTGTGATGTCCCTTTCCAAAGAATAGCGTCTCCTAGTGACATGCCCAAACTATGTGAGATACAGCGTTATCATCTTTTCTTCTAAAGAGCGCTCAGGCTGCACCTTCTCCAAGACATGCCTGTTTGTTCTTCTGCCTATCCATGGGCTATTCAGTATCTTCTCCAGCACCACAGTTTAAAGGCATCTATTCTTCTGTCATCCTTAGTCATTGTCCAGCCCTTACAATTTGGAAGCTAGAAGTCCAAATTTAGGATACCAGCTCCAGGGGAAAGAGCTCTCTCCCCTGCCCCTCTCTATTGCCCGCCCGCCCTCCTTCCCTCCCCACCTCCCTCTCTCTTTCTCATTCTCTCTCACTCTGTCTTGGTGGTTGCCCATTGCTGCAGTCACTGTGTCTCTCCACCTCTGAATCTTCCTCTCTTTCAGCTGACCCTCCCTCTTTCCCAGCATGATGTCTTTTTTCCAATTATTGGTCCCTGGCTGCAAACCCGAAATATGTGAGGCGAAGGTTTGCCATCATGTGATGCAACTGAAATTCCATGACTTGGGTCAGGTGCCCGTGAGACCTTAGACTGGCGTCCTTCCTCTTTAGCACGTGGCAGAGGTCCCTGGCAGTGCATTTGGCCAATTCCAGGCAAAACTTGTGACATGACAAGTTTTACAGGCAATACTCTATGGAAATTCCCTTCCCATAGGATTAGGAGATTGTCATGGGATTAAAGAATGTTTCCTTTTCCTAAATTGTTTTGTTTATCAGATCACAGGTGCTCATTAGGAAGCTGCCTCATTATGTCATCACATGCATGGATTGTGAGGGGCACAGCCCATTGCTTGACAGACAGCTGCTATAGGGGTGGTTACCTAGAGAGTGTGCTGACTCGTTTCTTCACCACAACAAGGTGGACATTGTGAGCAGGAAAAGCAAGTTACAAGAGTTTTTCGGTTTTTCACTGCACATGATAATTAAGTTTTAACTTGCAGTCGGCAAACTCTGCTTGTCGTTATTGAGTCTGAAGCCACTCTTGGCTGGCCCTGCAGTGGGTGTTTGGAGGAGCAGAGAGCCCATCTTTCTCCCCCGGAGCTGCTGGTGGGTTCGAACCAGAGAAGCATCACCCGTGGGTTAGCGGTGCAGCTCCCTGTGGGCCCGTCCACCTGAGCTTCTAACACTGTGAAAAAGTCGAGCCAACAGTGTGTCTGCTCTCACAAGAGATGGACCCCATGGGGACAGAGGGGCTGACACTGTCTCAAGCTGCTGACACTGGTGGCCCTTCAGAGCAGCCACAACCTCCAGTTTTCCAAAAACGCAGTGTCTGCCAATGGCAGTAGAGCAGAGTGTGGTAGAACGAGGCACGCCTGTGCACTGCCCACGTCCTCGCCTTGTCGGCCTGAAGACGGTCCGTCCCAGCTGCGCGATGAGAAGGCAGGAATTTCTGGCCGCCGCCTTTGATGCTTAGGCCTCTTTTAGCTCTGCAAAGTTCCACTTCCTCCTGTCTCTTTGGGCAAGGATAGGGCGCGTTTCAGCCGTGTTGTTCCTAGGGTTGCTGTGAGTCATAGTCAGCTCGTCAGCACCCAACACGTCGATGCAAGCTGTCCCTGGTTTGCTGGCCCGTGGACTCCACTTTGCTGAAATTCCCGCTTGGGTCTCAGTGCGTTTGTGACTTTGAGCTTTGCTGTCACGTCCCATGCTGCGTAGTGGTGGTCATGGCTGAGCCCGGGCCGCACCACGCTCAGTAATGGCTGTGCCCAGGCTTGCGGGCAGTGCCTGGCCCACCTGCCCACCAGCTCATCTGGGGACTGGTTTCCAGGAGCTGGTGTGCCCCGAGGTCAGGCTGCCTGTCGGGCCCCGGCCTCTGCCTCTCCAGTCGGTCAGTGCTGCAGGTTCTGCCTGCCGTTTCAGGCGCTGAAGGAGAAGGCGGAGCTGCAGGCACAGCTGGCCGCCCTGAACACGCGGCTGCAGGTGCAGGTGGAGCACAGCCACAGCAGCCAGCAGAGGCAGGACTCGCTCAGCTCCGAGGTGGACACCCTGAAGCAGTCCTGCTGGGACCTGGAGCGCGCCATGACCGACCTGCAGAGCATGCTGGAAGCCAAAAATGCCAGCCTGGCCTCCTCCAACAACGACCTGCAGGTGGCCGAGGAGCAGTACCAGAGGCTCCTGGCCAAGGTGGAGGACATGCAGAAGAGCATGCTCAGCAAGGACAATACAGGTGAGAGGCCGCCACGCGGCCCCTGCGCGCTCGGGGGTCAGCTGTGGCTTCGTGGTGGCATCCGCCTGCTCTCTGCTTCTTTCAGTGCACGACCTGAGACAGCAGATGACTGCGCTGCAGAGCCAGCTGCAGCAAGTGCAGGTGGAGCGCACGACGCTGACCAGCAAGCTGAAGGCGTCGCAGGCCGAGATCGCGTCCCTGCAGAGCGTCCGGCAGTGGTACCAGCAGCAGCTGGCACTGGCACAGGAAGCCCGGGTCAGGCTGCAGGGCGAGATGGCGCATATCCAGGTGCGGATGCTGCAAACGGACATCACCACAGGGGCCGACTGGCCAGCCTACCACGGTCACAGTGTGGAGTGGGGCTGCTTCCTCGGTTAGAAAGGGTGTTTCTAGATTTCACAGGGAAATAGAAAAGCGAGATCAGCTCACCACTCCCGTAGCCACACCGCCCGGCACAGGAGGCCTCCTCCCCGGGGGAGCAGCCTAGTGTCTAAACTTCTGCCCGCCTTTGGATCATTCTGTTAACACTGGGCTTGCAGGAGACTGGAGGGTGTCCTGGAGGGAAATCCAACTATTGGAGCACTTGGGAGAGCAGTTGCATCAATCCTATATCATCAGCGCTCCCCATAATTAGGCTTCTTCAAAAGTTTTCTAAACCTCAGACTCTCCCCTGTCCTAAGAAGAGCAGGCTGTGCGAGGTTGGAGAGCGAACCTGTTCTCGGTAATGGAGGAACGTGAGCCAGAAAAGGTTGAGAACGGTGAGGCTTTCATTGCTGAGAATAGTTGAGGCCATCTCCTCTAAACCACCAGAGTTGGAGGCAGTGGCGGTAGGTCTGGGTCTGCACTTGGACTCAGAGGTGTAGACGGTCTGGGATCTGGAGCTAGACTGTTCTTGAAAGAAGTTCTGGGATCTGAAGCTAGATTCAGACGTGATGAGTGTCTGCATCAGTGACGATTAGTGGGCTGGGGTCCAGATTTGGACTCTGTTTTGGTGGAAAGTCTCAACTCCCAAGCAGGACTCAGGGATGGTAGGGACTGACGTTCAGAGTTGGATTCCGTAGTGGTAGAAGGTCTGGGGTCTTGAGTTGGCTCAATAATAGTAGAAGATTTGGCATCCGGAGTTGGAGTCAGTGCTGGTAGAAGGTGTAGGATCCAGAGTTAAACTCAGTACTAGTAATAAATCCAAGATGGAGTTAGACTCAGTGTTGGTTGAAGGTCTGGGATCTGGAGTTGGGCTCAGTAGTGGTAGAGATCTGGGATCTGGAGTTGGGCTCAGTGGTGATAAATGTCTGGTAGATCCAAGTTGGACTCGGTGGTGGTAGAGGGTCTGGGACTGGAGCTGGACTCGGTGGTTGCAGAAGATGGGGAGTTTGGAGCTCAGTCGTGGTAGATGGTATAGGATCCAGAGATGGACCCAGTAGTGAAAGGTCTGGGATGTGGAGTTGGACTCCATGGTAGTGGTAGAAGATTCAGGTACTTGAGGCTTCTGGGTTTTTTCCTCTCTTCTCCTCACCAACCCCTGGCTCCTTTTGGGGCCTGGATGTCAGGCACTGTGGCCGCTTTTCCTCCTTGAAGCGGTCTTACTGTGATGAGGGGGCCCTGCTAGTCAGGGTGGCTGCTTTGATGGCAGCTTCAGCCATGAGGTCAGACCCCCAGCGGTAGAGGTCACAGACACACCTTCACAGGGGTGCTCTGTGCAAGCACTGCCGTCACTGCACATCCTCCAGGTGCTGCACTCCTGAGACCAGGTGCCCGGTGGTGGCACTGAGGCCGCTGCAGGAACTGAAGGGTGGCTGTCCCGTGCTGGTGGCCCAGGACAGGTCTGGTGACTTCACGGTGCTGTTTTTTTCTTCGTAGGTTGGACAGATGACCCAGGCGGGCCTCCTGGAGCACCTGAAACTGGAGAACGTGTCCTTGTCCCACCAGCTGACAGAGACACAGCACAGGTCCATCAAGGAGAAGGAGCGCATTGCAGTCCAGCTGCAGAGCATAGAGGTGAGGACGCCCCGCTGGCCCGCGCACGCTGGGGAGGGCGGAGTGCCTGTGGTACCCCCTACGCGCTGCAGTCATACACGCACAGCCAGGCTCCTCACACTCTGGGCTGCACGCGGTATTTGAAGGGTGATGTTCTTTATGAGACAGAGAGTGAGTGAGAGTGTGTGTGTGTGTGTGTGTGTGTGTGTGTGATACACACGGGCTCTAATCGCACATTCAGTCCTCACAGACACCCGCGTGCAGAGGACTTGGGTGTGCGTTGTCTGTGTGGGTGTAGATGTACATGTTGGGCCGTGTGCCTGCTGCACACATGCGTGGATGCTCTCACCCACCTGCGCTGCCCTGTGGACCCTCACGCCAGTCCTGAGCCCACCCCCGCCAGGAGCAGTTCCTCACTGAGCCGGCCGTGGTGTCAGGAAGAGCGGGGGCCCTGAGTGCTGCTCGCTCATGGGCCACACAGCCACGACGCCTGTGTCCCTCCTGTGCAGTCCGGACTCTAATCCGAACCCTCCCTTCCCGGAGCACAGTGTTCCATGTCCCATGGTTGGTAACATTATGTTGTCACTCTGCTGGCTGCACCTCACACTGGCCGCCACTTACAGCTCTGTGACCTGGTGCCAGCTGGACCTTGGTTGGGAGCCATGCTTGCCCACAGGGCACGGCTGGTGCTGTCTGCTGTCCTCACAGTCCCTGTTCAGTTCATCCTCTCCTGAATATCTCACAGGCTCTCTGGTCCCTGACATGCTCTCTTCTCTGGTCAGTTGATGGACGTGCCTCAATCCCAGGGTCGGTCTTGTTGAGGCCGGATGGCAGCCTCATGGGTCTGGCCTGGAGGGGCTGCCCCCAGCGTGAGTCCCACCTCCATCAACCACCTGGCTGCTGTTCCTCACCTTGAGGACGACCCCTGCACAGGCTCTTGGCTTGGTCAGCAGCTGGCGTGTCACAGCTACGCAGTGACCAGTCACATGCCTCCAGGCATGGTACTTCGGTTCATCAGCAGCGGGGCACATCCACTTCTTTGTGGATGGTGCTGTGTGGTTCATGGTCACAAGTTCCATGTTGGAGGCAGAGCATTGTTTGTGCCCTGTCGAGCCCTGCCAAGCCAGCCCTGGTCAGGACGCAGGAGCCATGGACGGAGGAGCAGGCCTAGATCACTGAAAGAGGCTTGGTCAGCATGCAGGGGACATAAATGGAAGAGCAGGTCTAGATGACCGAAAGGGGCCCTGGTCAGCAGGCAGGAGCCATGGACGGAGGAGCAGGCCTGGATGATTTGAATGGCTGCTGTTGACACACAGGTAAGCTGGCTTTTTAGAACTTTGTTTTTTGGGCTCAGGCTGACATGTTGGACCAGGAAGCTGCCTTTGTTCAGATCCAAGAAGCGAAGACGATGGTGGAAGAAGACCTTCAGAGGAGGCTGGAGGAGTTTGAGGATGAGAAGGAGCAGCTGCAGAGGATGGCAGACTCAGCAGCATCCTTGGAGCAGAAGCTGGAGCAGGTAAACTCATCTGGCCTCATGTGAGACACGACTTCCTCTGTGGGAACCTGTGGTTGTGTCCTCAGGCCCAGCAGAGGTGTGGCCTGCCAGTACGTCTCCATGTTAGGCCCGATGGGGGTCAGGTCAGGGCTGGGTGACTGGGCCTCTCCTGGTAGGACAGACGGAGGTTGGGTCAATGACTGGTGTAATCCTTTTCAAGGTCGTCATGTCTCTGCTGACCTGGTCATCTGTGTAATCTATAAACTGAGATCTCTTGTCACTAGCAGTGTCCCTTTACACTGGAATTTTGCATTTCTAAAAACTTCCTCCAGAGTATCTGTTTGACTTAAAACTGGAACAAGGGAAAAAGTACATGCTTTCAGAGCATGTAGTCTTCGCGCTTGGGAGCTGGCACACAGCATTGGTCTCTCCCCAGGTCCAGCTGACTCTGCAGCAGCGAGACCAGCAGCTGGAGGCCCTGCAGCGGGAGCACCTGGGCCTCATGAAGCAGCTCACAGAAGCGCAGGAGGCCCTGCAGGCCCGTGAGCAGAGCCTGGGGGACCTGCAGACACAGCATGAGGAGCTGCAGGCCCGGCTGGAGGAGCTGCAGGGAGAGGCGACCGCCAGGGAGGACACCATCCAGTTCCTGCAGAAGGAGAAGATTGTGCTGGAGGTGGCGCTGCAGGCAGCCCGGAGCAGTGAGGAGGAGCGAGACAGGGGGGCCAGGCAGCTGGAAGCGGGTGCCCAGGAGACATCGGAGGTTCTCGAGCAGCTGAGACAGGAGTTGGCTGTAAAGTCCAGCCAGGTAACTCGCACCACGGTCCTCAGTTGGTGTGTGGTCCTCTGGTGACACCTGCAGGATCTCCCCACCCAGGTGGGGACTATCTTCTATGGTTTCCAGACCGAACCCTCTGTGTCAGGTCCATTCCGACTCATGGTGACCACCATCAGGTTTCAGAGACTGTAAATCTTTACAGGAAGAAACCGTCACCTTAACCTCACAGAGCAGCTGATGAATTCGAACCACTGACATCATAGTTTGTAGCCCAACATGTGGAGCACTCTGCCACCATGACTTCTTTAATATGTGATTGTTGGGTTTTGTGCACTTCAAGTCAAAACCAACCCATAACTGACTCCAGTGGGTTTTCAGAGACTAACCTGTTTTTCTCCCACATAGTCTCCGGTGGATTTGAGCTGAGTACTTCTGGGTTGCCAGCGTATCTCCTTACCATTAGGCTACTAGGGCTCCATTTATATGTGGAGGTGGTGGTGGTGGTTGTGTGCTGTCATGTTGGAATCGACCCATAGCTTAGCCCTCCAGCAGGTTTTGAGAGGCAGTAAAGAGCATGGAAGGAGCTTGCCCGTTTTTCTCCCTCGGACCGCTGGTGGATTTGATCCATGTGCCTCTGTGTTGGCAGTGCAGTTCCTTAGCACTAGGTCATCAGAGCTCCATTTACATGTGGTAGGGAGAGAATTTAAAGAAACTGAAAATTCTTACGGTGCATGTGATTTGCATCTGATGCCTATCAGTTTGTTTATTAAGAACAAGACCTGCTGAGACCCTGCAAATAAGATTAGGGTGGATGGATACTGAGCTATTCTCAGAGTATTGGCCCCATCCCAAGATTGTCAGGTTGAAAGGGGGTTCAGGGAACAGTGGCCATGGCTCTGAGGCCCTCTCTGTTTTTTCGACTCTCATGTCCCCTCTCCTGGAAGCCACCTGTCCAACCTGTGTCCCAGTCGATCTGGTGTCATCTATCCAGCCCCCAAGTTCTGGTTTCCCCAGCATCACCTGCAGAGTTCTCATGTCTCAGTCTTCCTGGCATCACCTGCCCAGCCCCCTTGTCCCGGTCTCCCTGGGGTCACCTGCCCAGCCCCCGTGTCATGGTCTCCCTGGCATCACCTGCCCAGCACCCCTACCCCAGTCTTCCCGGGGTCACCTGCCCAGCCCCCGTGTCATGGTCTCCCCGGGGTCACCTGCCCAGCCCCAGTGTCTCGTTCTCCCTCATGTCACTTCCCCAGCCCCTGTCCAATCCAGCCCTGATGTCCCAGTCTCCCCGGTGTCACCTGTCCAGCCCCAGTGTCCTGTTCTCACTTGTGTCACCTGCCCAACCCCTGTATCCTGGTCTCCTTGGTGTCACCTGTCCAGCCCCCATGTCACAGTCTCCCTGGAGTTACCTATCTTTTACTCATTGAGGTGAGTTTAGTTCTAGGCACAGCAGATGTCTAAACTGTCTCCTAGTTCTTGGAAGTTCCGTGAGAAACAAATAAACATTAAATCCCCTAGAGTCGCGTTTCCCCAAGTCTATGTGCCCGTGGACCACAGGGCCCTGAAAACAGTTCCGATTCTGTGGGTAAAGTGCAGACTCATCTCGAGTGGCCCCGAGGTGGAATGGACAGCTGGTCTCGGACTCAACTGAGAGCTGCTCAGCTTAGACAGCCAGAGTCGACCACCTGCACCCAAGGGCCCAGCTTGACTCCTCCTTTTAGTGTAATAGACTTTGAGTGGAGCACAGCCGGGCTCGTGCTCAACTGAATGGCTGTGACGGTCCGCGTTACAGCAGCAGGAGTGGAATGCTGCCACAGAACAGGTAGCCCCGAGAGGGAAGGAGGTCTGCTGACCCAGACCTGGCACGTCCCCTTCCTCACACCCTGTCCCTCCTCCTACCGTGCCCTCCCTCGTCGTCGTCTTAGTTTGTTTTAGATGGTAAATAAAGAAGGGGAGGCCGGTGACCCTCTGGAACCACACCTCTGTCCAGTGAGGACTTGTCTCCACCATGACTGGGGAGCTGGCTCTTAGATATTTGTGGGCTCTCTGTGCCCTTCTGGAACCCCTAGATTTAACGTGCTGTGCAAACATGTCCCCCCAGGTGGAGCACCTGCAGCAGGAGACGGCCACACTCAAGAGGCAGACGCAGAAAGTGAAGGAACAGTTTCTTCAGCAGAAGGTAAAATGCCCTTGTCCGTTTTCTTTGTGTGAAACATGGCGAGGAGAAGTCCTTTGTGTTGCATGTACTTCAGCACAAGACCGAGTAAGGAAATGTGACCTTTCGCGTGTGTCTTCCTTGACGGACCCGTTAACTGGGGCGCACACTGGCAGCCCGAGCCCACCCACGTGCCCGTGCCTGTCCCGAGCTCAGGAGCTTCTCCCTGCGGGCTGGCTGAGGCTGTCCACCCTGGCCTGCACCAGCAGGAACCTGGCCTTCCCCGTGGGCCCATCACCCAGAGGGCTGTGTGCACTGTTAGTCCCCGTGGATTGTGCTGCTTGAAGAGTCTTTGACCTTGACTTGTGCGTTCACAGGACACTGGGGGTGTGGACATGATGGGACATTAGCCAGGCCAACTTACTTGTCGGGGGGTACTTGTGACGAGCATCACTCCACTGTGGTGAAGCCATCTTTGATTCTAAGATTTAAGCCAGAAGGTCACCCCAGGACACAGGCAGCTGAAGGCAGAAGGACATGGACAGACTCCTTGGACGAAATGAGACGTCCCAAGAGCCATCAAAAGCTGACCGTGTGCTGCTTCGCCCCAAGTCCTGGGGCCGTTGTGGCATTGCTGGTGGCAGCATTCATGGCTTGAGGTGTGAAGGCTATCTGGTTGGTAGGATTTTAGATTTATAGAAAGAAACTTTGTGCCTTTAGCTCAAAGCCGTGGCTGTTTTCAAGAAGTTGGGATGGTCAGTGTGTCCTGTCCCCCTCCCGGCCCCACACTAGCTCGCTCTGTTGGCTTGGTAACAGGTGATGGTGGAAGCCTACCGCCGAGACGCCACCTCCAAGGACCAGCTCATCAGTGACTTGAAGGCCACCAAGAAGAGGCTGGACTCGGAGCTGAGGGAGCTGAGGCAGGAGCTGCTCCATGTCCAGGGCGAGAAGAAGTCCGTGGAGGCAGAGCACGCTCGGCTGCAGAGGGAGTCAGCCCAAGTGCACCGTCGCGTGGCGGACCTGGAGGGGAACCTGCAGTCGGTGCAGAAGGAGAGGGATGCCTTGGAGACACAGCTGCAGGTCAGGAGTCAGCGGGGTCTCAGAAGGACCAGGAGGTCGGGGACTGCTCTGCAGAGAGCAGTGTAGATGGCCACCTGCCTCGATGGGGGGAGCTGGTTATCAGGGCACAAGGCCTGTGAAGATAGTAGTGGGGTTCGGGGGGCAGAGAAGGGGCAGGGCCCATTAAAGGAAAAGGGCGCTGTCAGCGGGGAGGAGCCAGTGAGTGGGAGGGAGAAGAGGGGAAGGGGTCTGTATGGGGGGTAGGCAGGGCAAGAGGGGGAGGGTGGGTGGGGCAGGTGAAGGAGTGGGGTTGGTGCGAGGGAGAGGATGGTGCAAGGGGGTTCCTGTGAGGGAGGAGCAGGAGGAAGAAGAGACAGTGAGGGACGAGGGACCAGCCAGAGGGTACAGACAGGGACAGTGCAGGTCGGGGTTTTGAGGATTCGAGAGTAAGGGGGTGCAGTTTGAGGATTCCAACGTGTAAGGGGTGAGATGGACCGTGAGTGATGTCCATGTGCTGAGAAGGGATGTCCCCTCATGTCCAGTTCTGGAAGACTTGGGAACTGCTCTGACACCTGGAGCAGGGAGTCCAGAATTGGCTCTGAGCAGGAGGCTGGGAGGGAGGTGACAGAGCGGCTAGAGCAGGGCCCTGGGCACTCGGTTGTGAGGCAGAGTGGGAACATGACCCATGGTCACTAGAGGGGGGAGGACTCGGCACTGCTCCTGCCTGGCCCCTGCTGTAGCGTGGTCATTACAGCCGGGACAGGGCTCAGCACGGTCGTTACAGTGACGAGAGAGTGTGCCATGGCCCTGCATGACCTTGACATGGTCATTACAGGGGAGGCACCTCAGCACCGCCCCTGGAGGCCGGACCCTTAACTGGTGCCCTCGTCTGAGGTACCAGGGCCTTCAAGAGTGCCCTCTCCTGAGGCGCTGGGGCTTTGAAGGGTGCCCTCACCTGAGGCGCCAGGGCCTTCAGTGTCCTCACCTGAGATGCCATGGCCTTCAAGGGTTCCCGCGCCTGAGAGGCGCCGGGGTCTTAAAGGGTGCCTTCTCCTGAGGTGCCGGGGCCTTCAGTGCCCTCGCCTGAGGCGCCAGGGCCTTTGGCACTTCTCACGCCGGCTCCTCCCTTCTCTTTAGTCTCTGCAGTTTGATAAAGAGCAGGTGGTCGCGCTCACAGAAGCCAATGAGGTGTTGAAAAAGCAGATTGAGGAGTTGCAGCAAGAAGCCAAGACGTGAGTCCCACGGGAGGGCCTTCCTGGGTGTGTCTGCGCAGGGGCACACCAAGGTCACAGGTGCCCTGGCCAGCCACCGTGGAGTCTGTCCTCCGCCTTTCTGTGGACATGTCCAGGGTGGACACGCCCTGCGTGTATACACGTACATACGCGTGCTCATGTGCACACAGCCAGGTGGGGGTACACGCACGTGCTCATGTGCACACAGCCTCGTGAACACATTTGTACACCTTCATCCTGCATGTGTATACACAAACACATGTGCACACATCCAGAGTGAACGCACACGGACACACAGCCAGGGTGCATGTGTTCTGGTAAACACACACCTGCATAGACATATGCACATGGTGCACAGACGAGGTGGCCCACGTATGCATGCCTGAGGAGAGCCTCATGCTCACACATACCCACATGTCCATGTGAACACACGGGGCATGGAGCAGTCCTGAGTACACTTGACTTGCCTGGCTGCTACTGATGTCCAACAAGAGCCACGGGAAGGTTTTCTCTGGTGGGACAGGAGCTGTTGCTCAGTCCTGCAGGATCTTTAACATGTCCTCCGAGGGGGAGGTGGCAGCTGAGGCCCTGTTCTCCCGGTCCCCTGGCTGCTGTCTCTCTTCATCTCCATGCGCTCACCTGGGCCTCATGGCTGGAGAGAAGCGGGTTCTGAGGAAGGGTGGTAACCCTAATGTGCTGTCCTCTGGCTGTGGGAGCAGACAAGCCTGCAGTGAAAGCCACTCGTCCTCTGTGGTGTCTTAGGGCCATCACGGAGCAGAAGCAGAGGATGAAGCGTCTGGGCTCGGACCTGACCAGCGCCCAGAAGGAGATGAAGACCAAGCACAAGGCTTACGAGAACGCTGTGAGCCTCCTCAGCCGCCGTCTGCAGGAGGCCCTGGCCGCCAAGGAGTCCGCAGAGGCCCAGCTGGTCGAGCTCAGGGCGAAGGGCGCCGAGGCCGGTGGGGTCACCCCCGCCTTGCAGGTAAACACCCATGGGTGTCATGGGCAAGCCCCACCTTGCATCTGTGGATGTCATAGGCTACAC